TAAAAATGGTGGAGGAACCTGTCCACTTTCCAATGGACTATCTACATGCCCCTACATGGAAAATATTCTGAACAAATCTCAGTTACTGCTGGACCACATTGACATCAATCCTGTCAAAAACAGGGTACTCACAAATGAAAGGCAAGTTAGGCATGCTGGCACACACCTGTAATCCTAGCACTCTAGAAGGCCGAGGCAGGAAGAGCTCAAGTTTGAGACCACCCTGGTGAACTTAGCAATGTAGAGATACCTTGCCTAAAAAGAAGAAATGAGAAATGGGTTGTTGATGCAGCTCAGTAACAACAACAACAACAACAACAAAGCCCTGTGTTCAATCCCAAGCAGAGAAGAATGCTGTGGAGGCAGACAGGGGGAGAGAAAGAAAAAGAAAGCAAATTAATGGCAAAATTTGTTAAGACTGTGGAAGCTGATGGAGTTCATTTTCACCACACCCAGTAAATAACTTGCAAACATAAATTTGTCATCAAAGAATTGCAATACTAAAACATTTGGAACTGGGAGGATATATTGCACTTTCTTCAGAGGAGCTGTTTTTAAGGTAAAAAACTTTTCAGAACTGTTCTGGAAAGGGAATACAAAATGGATAAAAAAAAAAAAACTTGCAGCAAAAAGTGCAATTAGAATTATAGCACAGCAGTGCAAGCTAAAGGAACCCTGAAGATGATCAACACTAGCAGAAAAAAAGGTGCAAAAGCCAAGTTGAGACAAAAGAAGATGCAAAATGTAAAGTATAAAATGAAGAACTGAGTTAAAGAGAAAGGAAGAAACCAAGCATGTTAGCAATCAGGTCTATTTTATCAAAAATTATACCAAGCAGAACAGGAGATTTCTCGGGTGCTGCTTCCCACAAAACTGGGCCAGGGTCTCCCAAAACATCTTACACATACTTCGCTTTAGCAAGTTGGAAAAAGAAAAAAACCCCGCTGCCTCATCTCGGCTATGCTGGAGCCACTTTACAGTAAGGACCACTCTGTGCCCATGTCCCTAACCCCAGAACCTGGTATAGCTCCAGGCACACAGTAAGCTAAAGGAAAGCGCCGTGGAACTGAACCCATGCAGGAAGAAGAGAGACTGAACTTGCGCACGGAATTCAAATACCACGCCGGGGCAGGAGCAAACACAGAGGGTGTGAGGAGCGCAGGCTTTCAGCTGCATGTCATAATACTTCCGCTCTGTGGCGGCAATGGAGCAACCTGGCAGGCAGAGAATTCTGGGTACTGGACACCACCTCGCACAGTGATGAACACAGTGTGCGAGGATGCTTAATCAGAATCATCAGTTTTTATTCTGCGACAGCTCAAGCAATAATACCTCATGCTGGTTTCCATTCCTACTTTATTAAAAGTATATAAGTTTTAAGGAAGTGTAAGGTTTTCAAAATCATTTAAGATATTTCTCTGCTCATAAGTGTTCCTTGTACATAAATACATAAACATGCGATGCTATGGAATGATCATCCAAAAACTTACTTTAAAAATTAAGATTTTTCTTAGATCTCATTTAACAGAAAGGAAGAAATACCGTTGGCTAGGCATTATAAAGTCTTCAAACTAAAAACACAATTTGATTATAAAAACATCATTTCATCATTAATTTCTTTAACCCTTTAAAGTCTAGTGTGCCAGCTTCAGAACACCCATGACAACAGCACATTAAAACTGTTCCTTCGAATTCTTGTTCCTTTGAATTTTTCTAGGTAACATACATGAATTTCATGCAAAAATTCAAAAAATTGCAATCTTCAGCATTAATATTTCTGGTTACTTGCAGTCATCACAACTTTGATTCACATCTTTCAGAACAATGTGGTGGGGATTTCCTAAAAAGTCACCTAATCTCCTAATGAGTTCTGTTTTGCACTACAGCCTACAATCTATTATCCAGTCCAGGGGCAGATGACAGTCCTCTGTAAAGAGCCTCATAAGGACTTACTTTAAGCTTTGCAGGCCACACAATGTTTGTCACACTATTCAGCTCTGGTTTTATAGCCACAGACAACATACAAGCATATGAGTACATTGTGTTTCAATTTTAAAAAGTAAAACAAAACAAAAACCAGACAGTAAGCCAGACTTGGGCCATGGCCATAATTTTAAAATTCTTACTTTAGTCCATTATCTTTATTTTATTATCAAATTTTCCAACAAAAACAAACAGAGAGCAACATACACTAGCATTTAGACTTAAGAGTTCTTAACACTTTGCTATATTGATTTCCTTTATTGTACTGCTGAATCACCATAACAAAAAGTTTGTGTTGTGGTGAGATTTAGTCCCTACATAATTAAGCAAATATTTCTAAAAATGACATAATAAAGTTTATAGCACTTGTCCTATCCTTAATATACTTACCTCGATTTATTTTCCATTTTTAAGATTTATTTGCCTCTTTCATATATTTTTAGAAACAATTGATAGGACTAATTAGAATAATTTTGACATATATATGAAGCCAGAGTTTCACATATAAGATAAAACCATGTATTCCAAAAGGTTTCTGCAAAGTATGAGTCCATATTATGAGTATCCCACAATGATGTTGATTACAACAGTCAGTTCCTTTAATTAGGCTTAAAAAATTCTAGGTCAGTAAAATTTTTCACTGTTTTCTACATTCAAAAAAAAATGTTGCAGCTTTTCTAGCTAGAAACAAATTTGGAAATGCAAAGTCTGGATTGACATTCTAGAGTTGGCAGTGCCTTAACAGAGAGAGGAAAATCTTCTCAGGAGAATTTTGATCATGCTGGAAACCTTGTCAGCTAACTAGGGAAATTCCAACAGAAAAATGACCCCAGATTTCATCAGATCTCCACCAAATAACAACCGTTGGTGGGGCGGAGTGGTATACATCCTAACCAATGCTGAGAACAGAGACAGGAAATGGCTGCGTGGAGGCCACACTAAAATAGCGGCAAGGGTGGCCTATTGTGCCACAGTGCGGTGTGAGCTCAGAGACCAGCCAACTGCAAGACAAAACTGAAAAAATGTGAGTAAGACGTGTGGGTTCGTGTGGCCGGGGTCTTGAAGTATTTTAACGCACAGGTAGGGAAGAGGGTCAGTAAGGAGTCTGAAAAAACAAATGGAGTCCACTGAGATAAGAGGATTACACAAAGACAAGGATTTCCAAAGCTGTTCATTAGAAACTGGCCCGAAGGTAGCGTTAAGAAAAGAAATAAAGTAGATTCAGGTAAATGGAGTTGCAGTTTCAAAAATCAGAGGCAACTGAGTAAGACAGACAATAACAAAAGCAATGATGTTTCCACCTCTCTGAACTGGCCATCGGGGAGCCACTGGCCACATATACTTATTTAAATGGATGTTAACTCAACAAAAGTTAAAAGTTCAGTTCCTCCGCCTTATTAGTTGTAAGTCAGATGCTCAGGAGTCACATGTGGCCGGGGTTACCATCTTGGACGGCACAGATGGAGACTAGGGGTTGCACAGAGTTTTCTACTGGACAGCCCTGTGCCTAGGACTCCAAAATGAGTAAGAAGAAGAATGACAGGGGAAGAGAAAAAGAAAGGATAGTGTTTGGTGATTTCCCTCTCTCGCTGTGCTTAATGTCCCTGGCTACCACGTGACCATCAGGACTGCCACAGCATGGCAGTGTTGGGATTCTACCACGCACCCTCTCCAGAAAGCTGCCCTGCAGATCTCTCTAGCTGGTTGGCATTACTGGAGCAGGGCATTAAGTTAGGGGTAGGGTGAGGGTTGGGCTTCAGGAAGGGTAATTCAGTGGGTGAAGAGAACCCAGGTGCAACCACAGGACCATGGCCAGAATCCAAGGAGGGTAGAGCACTCACTTGCCACTAGAAGGCCACGAGAGTAGACTCTCCTGTCACTCATGTTCAGATGATCCTTCTACTCATGTACGGCTCGGCCTAAGTCATAGGTCCACGCTCACATTCTGTTTTACTTGACTAATGAGAAACTTGCCTATCTCCTTTTCTTTTGTTTATTTGCATAAATCAACCCTTATAATTTTTATTCGTTGCAAGCAAACCCAGGCAGCCTTCTGCTCTACCCTGCGAGACATGACATTTCAAACCCCTGTCATCCTTCACCACATCTGCCGTAAAACAGCATCCTGCAGTCGGCCTGACCCTCAGAGCCACTTTCTCCCTTTCTGGGACACTTTCAGCACCCTTTGACCATGGTCAACATCTCACCAGTTAGCTCTGTTGTTCCAGACTGGCGTTTCCAACTGTGCAGGCATCCAGCACCTATAGGCTTTCTGCTACTCATAATGTTCGTGTCGCCAGGTGAGGGGAAGACACGCCAACAATACGTGTAAGGGTCACTGTTCTCAGAAGCCTCGGGGCTACACGCAGCCTTCCATGTGCATGTGTGGGCAGCCTCTTCCTCCGCGCGCTCCCTATGTTCTAATTGGCTCACTATGTGGATTCTTGGCTCTGTGCTTGGGAATCAGCGCTGACTTTTAACCCACCTCACCTGAAGAGCAGCTTTCAGAGACTCCATTAATATTTCAGGTGCTGCACGTCATTTGTAAAATCGTTAGCAGGGTTTCATTGGTGGTTTTAACTGCTTACTTTGGATCTACTCTAGTGATTAAATATTCTTTGTGTGACCAAGTTGGAAAAGGATGGGAGTTCTTTTTAAAGGAGAAAATAATTGAGGAGAGAAAATATTCATTTAGGGAGAAAATGGAGACTTCTGTGAGAGTCAGGCTAGTCACTTAGAGGGAATTCTGACTTATGTAGAAGAATAATTATAAGAACAATAGACTTGCTTGAGTGAATTCAGCTTTCAAAAAAAAAAAAAACTCCTCAATCTCAACATTAGCAAATTTTTTGTCTCTTAGAAAATAACAAGATCCTTCCTAACATCTACTAAAATAGAAATCTTATAATTTTCTGTCATGTTTTGAAGATTTGGCTTGAACTTGAGCCAGATTATCTTCTGAATTACATGAGCACCCAAACTCTCCCTCCCTTTTTAACATGTGAAGAGTTACACAACTCGTAAATAAAGCTCAGTATGAGAAGCCCCTGTAAATTGCATAACTGTATTTTGGTCAGTTGAAGTGCCTGCCACTGAAAACCTTCAGCAGAGCCGTGAATCTTCCTCAGCCCATGGAAAGCTGCTTTCAGCTGGAAGAAGGGTGTGTCCCTGAGCTTTTACCTGGGAGCAATGATGATCTTGTCAAGCATTTCAGGGAGACCAGCCCAAGTTTTTAGGGTGGGGATCCAGACTGGTTATACGTACCTCAGTCCTTCTCTCAGAGGAAGGCAGAAACACCTCAAAGCCTGCAAGTAAGAACATCTACTGGGAAATCATTTTAATCAGACGCCAACTGAGTGGGAGAAAAGAAAAAGAACCAAGAAGAACAAACAAAGCTCCCTTAGTCTTGGATGTCAGGGACGCCACCACGGCGATGGAGTGGCAACCCTTCACAGCAGCTGCCCTGCTCCTCTGCCTGGTAAGTGGACCCTGCGGGGGATTCCTGCAGACTCAGCCTCATCCAAGCAAGTGAGAACTTTGTAGACAATGTTATTTAGTGGTACTTCTAACCTAAACCCATTAAAAGTTTATGCTAATGACCAGGTGATTTTATGAAGTAGATTTTTAAATAGTGTTTCTCGCGTTAATTGAAGACTCCAGATCATATTAACCACATCCGTGCCACTCACCATATCATAAACCTGACATCGAAGTTGCTGCTAAGTCATGCTGAGAAAATATTAAACCGGGGACATTTCTCTCACTCTTTAGCTACCTATTTCAGATGCTCATGTGCAGGTAGACTTTTATACTAAATGTTACAACTGTGTCCCGATACTCAATTTAAGCCCTTTGCTATTCTTTTGGTATCTTCAGTAGCAGGGTCACTATAATTACTAAAAGATGAAAACAGGATCCATGTAAATTAAAATCAGCAATCTGTGAATGTCTCGACACTCTGAGCGATCTCACTATTTTAGTGCTGTAGAGTCCCTGCTACTAATAACAAAAGCCTCAGGTTGCAGAATGATAATTTGATTTAAAATAATATTTTTATTTAAAAAATGACAATATAGGAGATTTATAAATAACACAGTCAGGAGAGAAATGGTGGCAATTAAGGAATAAACATAGCCATCACTGTCAGTAAATGACTGGAAAGTCAGTGGTCACTTTATTAGGACAGGTTTACAGTTGGTGGTCAGACAGTGTAGCAAAATGCTTACTAATGTCCTCTTTCATGTTACCAGTTTTCTCAGAGGTGACAAATATAAAGAGCAATATCCATATTTTATATCAATTTCACATTTGGCAAAAAGGTTAAAGTCAGAGTCTCTCTCACAGTAAAGTTCATGTAACCCAGAGAAGTTTGTGCCAGGTAAATGCCAAGTAAACGTGGTGTATATCTGTCTCTACTTGCTTGAGTTCTGAGCTGGAATGTTGGGTCTGTATAACAAGGTAGGTCTTTCATTCGTGGTATGATTAACGGAGAGGGATCAAAACCATTTACTAATGAGCATCAGTACCATGATGGCTTTAGTTCTAATCTTGCCTTCTATGCTTACTCTATTCCGTGGACATTTTGGTAGTCTTATAAGATTAGTTGATGTCATAACTTGAGTCATGGCAGGGATCAGTGAGCATCATACAATATGTGACCCATAGGAACATTGTGTATTACCATACAATAGAGTACTTTAATTTTTATTTTAGTTAATACTTTATTTTAATACTTTTGAATACTTTATTTATAATTTTGATTCCTTGAAGATGATTGTCTAGTTTCAATTTATGAAAGTTCTGTCAAATACTTGTATACTAAATTTCACTGAATCTATATTTGATTTATTTCCTAATTTACATGATTATTTCTGATGAATTACACCCTATAAAACTCCTTTAAACAGCTACTTTCTAATTAGTCGTTTTTCAATAAAATCTATCACTTTACCAAAATCACGTATTCTCACAGTGCTTTCTGTTTTTGGAAAGAGTGTTCTGCGTACTTGTATTTGATTTTCTAATCTAGGATACCTTTTTTATTTGTTTGTGGACTGATTTTAGAAGAACAGGGAGTGTTTGACCGTATTTTATTTTTCTGTGGAATTAACTGCAAGTTTCTAATATGGCTTGTGAAAATTATTCCTTTAAAAAATATAATGAACTTAGAAGTTTTATTTTCACATTGATATCATAAATTTTTGTAAAATGTTACAAGAATTTATTTTTTATTTTTACTGTAGATTCTACCAGGCAGTTTTGGTGGCTGTCCTTTGGAGTTAAATATCTATGTTTTGTTTGAAAATATTTTTCCCTAAAGACACCTATGACTGCAGCAAACTCTTACAATTTTCTTTCTTCTACTCTTAGTATGAATGTTTGCTTTTATTAAAAAAAAAAGAAGAAAGAAAGAGAAAATGTTCTTCTTTCTATATTTGATTTATTTCCTAATTTACATGATTATTTCTGGTGAGTTACACCCTAAAAAACTCCTTTAAACAGCTACTTTCTAATTAGTCATTTTTCAATAAAATCTATCACTTTACCAAAATCACGTATTCTCACAGTACTTTCTGTTTTTGGAAAGAGTGTTCTGGGTAAAATAAAAATAAATCAAATATAGAAGAAATTGTATTCTTCTCTGCTCAAAGTGGATAAATAAAAGTTCATGTTAGGAATATAGTTGAAAAACTCATAGGAGCTTTAAGGCAAAGCATGTGAGAACAGGGTAACTACTGCTCACAGCATATTGTGAGATCTGCTTAAATATGTCAAAGCTTTATACCTGGTTCAGAGTAAGAGTTAGATCAGAAACATGAAGTGGAGGAGTTGGATGCGATGGCAAATACCTAACTTATCAATCTGGAGCCTGAGACAGGAGGTTCAAGCCCAGCCTAGGTAATTTAGCAAGACCTTGTCTCAAAATAAAAAGTCCTCTGGATGTAGCTCAGTGGTAAAGTTCCCTGGGTTTAATCCTCAGTACAGCAAGTGAAAGAAAACAAAACAGAAACAAAAAGCAGAGTTACTCCTAAAGAGGCCAAGATTGCCACATGAACACTGGCATTTCTCAGACAAGTCTTCTGCAGAGACAATAACTCACACCTGCTGTAACACTGCAAGACTAAACCAATCAATCTTTCTTTCTTTCTTTCTTTCTTTCTTTCTTTCTTTCTTTCTTTCTTTCTTTCTTTCTTTCTGTCTGTCTGTCTGTCTTTCTTTCTGCCTTTCTAAATGTCAACGTATAAAGTATAAAGTGTGTGTGGGGGGATAGGTTAGACCGGATTTTCTTTTCACCAGAGAATGTTACCTGTGCACCAACTGTAAGAACTCTGTGTGGAAGGTTATAATAATGGCAAAATGAAGGCCATGGTCACTGTGGGAAAGCAAAACAGAACCAGTAGAATTTCTAGAGTTCTAATGATTTCTGAAAATTACTTCCAATGTTGCCAAGTCCAATTACTCTATAAACATGTATATATTCTGAAATACGCCTGTTTTTTCAGTACAGAGTCAATCTAGGCCCTTTGGACTGAGCTACATCCCCAAACCTTCTTTATTTTATTTTTTTCTCTTTTTGAGAGAGGTCTCACTAAGTTGCTAAATTGCCCAGGCTAGACATGAATTTGCAGCCCGCCTGCCTCTGCCTCCTGGAGTGCTGGGATTATACATGTGCTCCACCAGTGCTGGGCAGGTGAGCTCTTTTTCTATAAAGGCAAACTGCTCAAGCTCAAAGAACAGATAAAACTATTTTTATCTGATAGCACAAATGATCTGATTTTTTCATTTTCTCCTACTACTTTCTACTTTTTCTACAAGTTAATACTTTTAATTTTAAAAAAACCCTCTACCTGATTAACAAAACTCTATAATTTGAACTTGATTGAAACTCTGTTATGAGCAGTTTTTCAAGTATTTCAGGCTAAAATGCCCTGAAAAATAATGTTTATTTTCTTATTGTCCATCAGTTCATTTGAACCAGACATTTTAAGTTCGCTTCACAGCGTTCACTGCCTGCTAAATCAAAAGAACCCTGGTACAGACCAAAGAGAAGACCACCCAGAGACGAGTCTATGCTTTCTTATGCACATGTTATAGTGATATGCAATACAGACATTAGTATTTCAGCAAAGTATTTTTTAGAACATGGAAATAGGATTTTTATCCCCCTATTTATGAAACTTACAAACTATAATCAAAATCATTTCCATTTACATGGTATTTTAAAGTTCTATTATTTTCAAGGCAGATTTGGGGTCAGTGGCTTCTTTTACCTTCACAAACATAGGGAATATAAATTCCTCACCACTTAATTGACTGGAGTTGCACACAGTATAAACTTCTGCCAGCCATAGAGTTTAAATAGTAACAGGAAAGTCTCCACTCCGCGTTCACCAGAGCCCTGCCGAGGAGAAGCCCTGTGTCCTGACAGGAACCGTCTCACCGAGGAGGAGGAAGCCTGCTCTGTGAGGCGTTGTACTCATTTCTTTTGCTGCCTCAGCTGAGCAACGCCCTGCCCGAGCCCTGGGTCATGCCACCCTGGCAAGTTGTGCTTGGCACTCAGACTTCTTTAATGACTTAGACAGGTCAGATAGTTCTAAACGTTATTGGCAGCTGATCTGTGCTCTGTATTGGTCTACAAGAGCACAGCGCAGCCTCTTACACTTGTTTAAGGAGAAACCGTATCTCCCCAAATTAATAGCTGCCCATTGCTTACAAAACTACTTGACTGGAAGTTATTTGAAGGCAGGGTCTGTGTCTGATTCATCTTTGGGTCCGCATAGCACCTTGCATCGGGCAAGATTGCTCAACAAGTCTCTAATCAGCAGGAATCAGTAGGGAATTTGGGCATGGTTTATATTTCTCTTCCCATACACACTCCTAAAAATTGTCAAGGCGTTAACATGGAAATAATCACGTCAGATTTTCTTAACACTTTTGTAATATAGTACTGCATTTACTGGACATTTCCTCTAAAACTCACCATAGTATTTTTAGAGTTGGCCCTTCAAAAAATCTTAATGAGATCCTGGATCTGTGTAATATATAAACAATATGGATTTATCAAATCAATGAATAAATATGAGAAATCAGGCCACTGGATTATTGCCATCCCAGACTGATAGCTTATGTCAGAGCAGTAGGAAAGAAAGACAATAGAGAAAGTTTAAGGAAAAAAAAAGTTGTATTTTACTTTTGTTGTAAGTGCATCCTTGTGACTTATATAACAGTTAACAAGTACGTTGGAATTTAATATTTAGCAAATCGTGACTACTTCACATATTAGATCAAATAGATTTTCCACATATAAATTACTCCCACCAGTATATTTTTATTATAAACAAAATAAACCCCAATATTGAAAATTGCTAGAATTAACTGCAATCAGTGAATCGCTAAATTAGCACTCACTTTTGCATCCTCGGGCTTTAATAAAATAAATAAATGGATCGGCTCTTAAATTGAGTTGAGAGGAAGAAATCTTTGAAGATTCACTTCAGGTGAGTTATTCACTGCTTCACAGAATTCCAGGTTGACCAAGGGTTTTGGTGTCATATACAGATGAGGAAACTGAGGTGCAGATTGGCCAAGTGGCTGCCCCAGTGCCCGAAGTCAGTAGGCAAAAGAGGTGATACGCATTGGGCTTCACTGCCTCCTACTCTTCACTAGGAAAACCTCCACTGCAGCCTCCCTAGCACATTGTTTCTGAACTCAAACCACTCCCCCGTCAGAAAATGGCCTCACCCTTACTGTAGCAGGAGGATCCAGGTCACTCAGAACAATGTCCTTCAACTTTCTTTCCCAACCAGTGTCCTGTAATCTCCTCCCTTTGCTTGTTCTTTGCTCTCTTTCAAGTCCTTTCATTTCTTCCTTTTCCCTCTGCTTCTCCCATCAGCACCTCTACTATCTTCTTTTTGAATCTCTTTCCTTTCAATCAAAATAGTCAACTTTCAAAAATCAACAGATCTTCCTCTTTCACAAAATTTCCTTAATACCCGCTTCTAATCCTGTCCTTCTGTGTTTCTGTTTCCTTTCATCATCAGTTTCTTGAAGATGACACTCTTTGCCCCTCTTTTTATTCTCTAATCCTTTTCAGGAAATGCTTCGTCCATCTTCATCTAGTCCCCCCCCCACCCCCTGCTGTGGCTTCTGTCTTTGTTATATGTATTTCCTGTCCTACAAATGTAGGAATTCCTGAGCTGTGGCCGTCAGCCGCAGGCTGTTTCTTTGCTACCATCCCCTGCTTTAGGAACTTTACGTTTTCCGTGGTTTCCACCCCTAGTAGCCTTCCCTGAGCAGATGTATCTCAAATCCACATGCTTGTTTCCGACGGCTTAGTTTCTCTCCGGCATTTCTTCAGCATCTAGAATTCAATGTGCTCTAATCTAAATACAGCCACTGCCTTGTTCCAAAGCAGTCATCACCTGAGATTTCCTTTCCCTCCTGACGGCCTCACCCTGTTTAGTGTTAACTCCTGTTCGGTCACCCATCCAGTGTCACCCTTGGGCTTTCCCGTGGTTCCCATAGCCTGTGCTTTGGTTTAACTCCTTCTCACCTCCAGCTTGACTTGATACAGAAGACTTGATACTCTCAGCCTATAATCACTGCTTCTTCCCACCACTCCTACCAACCACTGTCCAAGCAATCTTTTAAACCCACAATTTTCACATGCCTTTCCTATGATCACAATACTTCAGTGTCGTCCTACGGCACACAAGGATTTGGTGCCTGAACTGAAAGCGACTTTGTATATGTTAGTCTAATCCATGTTACAATGGAGCAAACCAAGGCTCAGAGAATTCAGAAAACATGTTAAAAGTTTTCTTATTCTACCCTGTAACCTTTTAATTTCATTTCACATTTGAAGGTTTGTGTCTGAGTTTGCTCTGGATCCTGAGCAAAAGAAAATAAGCTTAGGTCAACTAGCCACATGTTTAAGCAGATGAGGCAGTTTTTTAATTACTCATCCAACTGAGAGTCTGACATTATGGTGAAACCTACTTGGTCTCTTGCCTAAATCTCCTCTCACGGGAAAAAGAATGACCCAGCTTCGTAAAGTCTGAAAGACTTCTTAGTCATCTGGCCTAGTGATCCAAAGCCAACAGCAGGTACTGACACCTCACTGCAGGAAGAGAAGTGCACAAGTAACAGATGTATAGGGTGCTATGAAAACATGACTTTCAAATGGAAGAATGAGGGCTCGTCTCATCCCTGTCCCACACCCACAGACCACACAGAGGGGAAGTGCTGAGCATTTGCATGAATATCCTTTCCTTCTGCACTGGAGACCACTCCACAGGTAACACTGCAGTTACCTGGACACTATCTGTGCCAGTTAACGCCCTTCTCCCCTGGTATTACTGCTGTAACCATCGTAAGCACAATGCTAATGTGAAATTAACTTAAAACCAGAATTTCTTTTAGTTCTGACAGGCATAATATGCTTTCTCCATAGTATATTTTACTTAGTAATTTCCTTGAGAATAAGCCAGAACACAAACATAAGTTGAAATTGGGAGACTATATGTAGCCATAAATTAATATCCAAATTTCAATTTCTTCATTTGTAAAAGAGAAATAATAATACATTGCAAAAATACATCTATAGGGGCTGGGGATTTAGCTCACCGGCATAAGCGCCTTCCTTGCAAGTGTGCGGTCGTAAGTTCAATCCTTGGTACCGATAAAAACAAAAAAGACAAAAAAATAATAAAACCCCATATATATATATATATATATATATATATATACACATATAATTTTACAAAATAAAATGGAGATGCTAGTAGTGTGTTATCAAAATTAAATGTACATATTTTTCTAAAAATATTGTTATTATCAGTGAATTATAAGTGATACTTATAATGATTAATGTTATATCATGACTAAATAATTTTCTCTATACAGCAACATTAGCCATAAATGCATGGTTCTTTCAATGAGCAGTCATGAAAATTTAAAAAAAATATGTAAAGACTAAAATGTCATATTTTCTTTAAGGGTAAAATGGAAACCCACTATAAAAAGTGATTTACTGTATTTAAAAACTACTGTTATTGGGTTTTTTTTTTTTTTTTTTTTTTTGTCTTTTTCCTTTTTATCGGTACCGGGGATCGAACTCATGACTGCCTGCTTACAAGGCAGGCGCTTATGCCACTGGGCTAAATCCCCAGCCCCTATGTTATTGGTATTTTTAATGCACATAATTTCCTTGTATTAGGGATGCAAATAAAGTTTGATTGTGAAAAATAGTTGAGTAGCAATTGAATATATCTTAATTGGGAAAAAGTAAATCTAAATATATATACTTTGTAAATAGATTCTGAAATTTAAAATATTAATAAGTTCAAATTAGCCTTCTAATCCACTCTTAGTTTTTAAAATACACATTTTATATGGAGACATTGGGCTTCCTATTAATGTCTGTGTTTTTAAAAATGCCCATGGTTTTCAAAGAAAAATAATTTAAATTATCCTTATGCTTCACTACAAGTCATTTATGAAGATGAAGGCCAACTTAAGGTAGGCAAAGCTCTGCTTGACCAGCACACTTGTGCTAGTGTGTATTAGAAAATCTTCCATCTAACTTTGGCATGTGAAGGAACAACAATCTTGAAGCTTTATTAAAGTTTCTGCTTTATATTCCTTCTTCGCTCCCAATATTTTTTTCTGCTTCCACATGTCCTTGTTCAGGTCCTGAACCTCTACAGTCTAATGCTACAGCATTCTGCTTCCAAATTATGGAAACCACCGAATAGCATTTGAGTACCAGTTTTCCAGATGCAGAATTTGTTAAGAGAATTTGAGTTTCTTATCTTAATTACCCTGGAGTTCTAGCTTCAGATATACTACTCATAGGATTATGGATGTCAGCACAAGCTACAAATGAAAAAGAAAAAGAATTAAAAATTAAAATTTAAAAACAAAAAGAATTTTTAATTTAGCATTCTCATCAGGTCTAAGACGTAAACCAGATCTACGTGTTCTTCAGACTGACAATTCTAACAACTCACAAGAATGTTGTTTGATTTTTAAATGATTTAATATCAGTTTCAAAGCAATCAATTAAAAATTAATTATTGTGATCATCTTATTCTTATAGGTCGTGGCTGAAGTTAACAGCGAATTTCGAATCCAGGTAATATACAACAAATCCATTTATTCCAGACATAGAAAAATAATGATTCGGCAGTAACATGTTTTACAAAGAAAACTGATTCTTGTAAGTAAAGTTAATGTAATGCTGAAGTTAAAAGGCTATCGAAATTGTCCATTTCCCCAGTTAAAGAACCTCTTTTTCTGATATCTCCAAAACACCCATTGTAATATGAATTATAAATAAAATTAATACATGATATTCCTTTACCCTACTTATCAAGGTAAGAGATTACAATACTAAAAATGGCACCATTAAGTGGCACTCACCCAGAAGACAAAAACGGGAATGGATCAAGTTCGCTGCAGCCTGTCGTGAAGGTGAAGACAACTCAAAGAGAAACCCAATTGCCAAAGTAAGTGACAGCCCCAAAGCGTGAGTGTGACAAACTGGATGAGTTGACGTTTGAAAGAACCAGTCTTTGCAATCATTTGTGAGCAGATCTCATTGGGAAGTGATGATATAGAGCTATACTGAGTTAAGTTATGAAAAAAAAGAGCCTAAACAGATAAATTTTATATTCAGATAAACAGTTCAGCATCAACTCACCTCACTGGCAAGACTAATATGCATGAGCATATGTCACCCTGAGGTCTAAATGAAAGAATTAATAAATAAATAAAAAAGCAGTGAATTAAAGAATGAATTTAGCACTCAGAGTACATAGAGGAATTTCAAGGTGTGCCACTTCTGCTTTATAATGTATTAAGATTGAACTTACTTTGTGCTTACTTAGGAATATTCACAGTATGCCTCTTTCATGCTGTCTTTTTTATTTTTCCTATATTCCTCTACAAACACACACATACACACACAGATACATATATAATAATTATGAACACAAACACAAAGATTCACGTGGATATATAGAGATTCCCCATTAAGATTTGCTTAGTCATATAATATTTTCTTTCAAGAAAGGTGACCTGAACTCTTTCCTTTTCTGCTAATACATCATCCCTATTTTCAGAATTAAAAATGTCTACATAAAGCCAAATAACTGGTTATGTACATAAATTCACTTACAACTTTGTTGTAACACTTCATACTTTTCAAGAATTTGAATCTCAAGATCAAGCAAGTTCCATTCCTTCAACCCAGTCATCAAATGAATTGGTTGGCTAAATAAGTAATCATATATAGTATGCACATTACAAAACTCAGAACAAAAAGAGATAGTCAGGGCTGGGGATTTAGCTCAGTGGTATAAGTGCCTGCCTTGCAAACAGGCAGTCGTGAGTTCAATCCCTGGTACCGATAAAAAGGAAAAAGACAAAAAAAAAAAAAAAAAAAACTCCAATTTGATGATTTTTCTTTCATTTGCATAATTCTTACATGCAATACTGTAATGTATTACAGAACATAAAATAAGTCCTATACAGTACAATCAGCAAAAATTATAGTACTGTGTAAAGTGTACTATACAAAAATGACACTGAGATTCTATAAAAGAGATGTACAAACCTGTATGAAAAAAAAAAGACGGGCTATAAGTTCAAGCATCTTAACTCTGAACAGTCGTGAAATATTAAAATGAGAGGTGGCTGAACAAAAAATCAAATTATAAATGTTGAATGAATTATGACTGCACAGACTTAGATTTGTTATGGTGATTGCTTACATTTTTATTGTTTGTGATAAATAGAAATTGAATTTATTTTATTATATTGCCAGGTACCAGTAATACTGTACTTTTTGTACAGTTGCTATTGAAAATGGTATAATTATTATATACATGTAACAAAATAATGCTTTATTTTCAATGTTTCCCAAAGGTCAGCATATTGAACAATTTTCGAGAATCATACTTGTTATCTATAAAATGTAGGGTTCTTTGTTTCTGCTCTGTAATATTTCCACTATGTTCTTTCTGCAGATTCATTCAGATTGTGCTGCAAACCAACAAGTCACATATCGCATCTCTGGAGTAGGAATTGATCAGCCGCCTTATGGAATCTTTGTTATTAATCAAAAAACTGGTGAAATTAATATAACATCTATAGTTGATCGAGAAGTCACTCCTTATTTCATTGTAAGTAGGTTACAGGATACCACATATGGTGTTGGAAAATCTTAAACTCATATCTCACTTTATTGATTTCATGAGTCATAATATTAGATGTTTTTGGTTGTGTCAGTGTAGGAGCGTCCTGATAGGTGTAAAGAAAATTAAGAAAGAAAAGAATATTTTTTCAGAGGTGTAAGCAAGAATGCCAGTTTCTAGTTAGTCCTCATAGGAAACCAGCATACTTGTTTGAAAAACAAGTAGCCAGTTCTTAGTTTTTAATTTTTTTTCAGTTGAAAATGTTGGTTTCTTTGATCTCTGATACCTAGCAATGATTCTGAAACTACAAAAGAATTCTTTTCTGAGCGAACACACATTATTATAACTCTGCATTGCTTGAGTTCACCTGAGCTCTAAATGAACCTGAGAAATGCATCCGTCCTTCACTGCATCTCAGTCTGTTCTTTATAGGAACTGTCACACAGCTTAAACACACTTTTCCTTCCAATCCTCGACTACATTTACCTTCAAGCAGCTGACTCAGTACTTCACTAAAAAGACTGAGGCCACCTATCACAAATTCCCATAACACTCCCTCCCCCGGAAGTGTTATTATTCGGTCCAGAAGCATATTCAGTTTTTTACACAGCTTATCTCAAGGCATTCCCACTGTTCCTTAATTACTCGTTTCTTTAAGAATCTTATTCCATCAGCTTTGTTTTATCATCTCTCTTCTGCTTATCCTATTGACTGCTTCCATTTCCATCCATCATGGTGGCCAACACTTCTTAATGTTTAAAAGAAAAACAAAAGGAATAAAAATCCCTTCTTTGATCTTGTAATCTCGTCTATTAAAACCCAAACCATCCCTATCCCAAAACACCTTCAAATAGTAAGATGCATTTGCTGCTTTTGCTCAGACGTCTCATTCCTGGGACTACCTTAATTCCTTGGCTTTTAATTCCTTTTATCTACAGTTCTATCTTGTATTCCTCGATGTTCCCTACAATCTCTCCAAATCAGCAAGTCAATCTATCAGCTTTTCTTAAAGCATAGCATTTTTATGCAAAATCAATAATACATGTTAAACAGTACACCTGATACTTATACACACTTCAAATTAATGATAATAAACACCCACATAGGCACCACCTAGTTTAAGAATCCTGCATTTCTTTCAATTTCCACAGGACCCTTTCTTCCATACTCTCACCACTCCTGCCTAACACTTATTTCTGTTTTCAAATACAGCATTTACACCATTTGACTTCTTTCCTGATAAGAATCCCTTTGCCATCTGTTGAAATTCTCTTCCAAGGTTTACTTCAATCATTATATTCTACAAAATTAGAGTCCTTCCTATTAACAGATTATCATGTTGCCCATTTAAAAAATCGTTCTGTGTTCATGGTTCCTTCTTACTGATTGTAACTATTATTTGTACATATATTCTAATAGAAAATAATAATATGTATTATTTCTCTCCTAACAAAAAACTTACCAAAAGTAAAACTTAATAAATACATATTTCACCAAATAATCATTCTTTTCTCTTTTAGATCGTTTGCCGGGCTCTGAATTCACTTGGACAAGATTTAGAGAGGCCTCTTGAGCTCAGAGTCCGGGTTTTGGATATCAATGATAACCCCCCAGTGTTTTCCATGTCTACATTTGTAGGACAAATAGAAGAAAATTCCAATGCAAGTAAGTAGCTATTTTACTAGTTAGACAAGAATATATTGGCCTCAAGATCAATCTTAACAGACAGGCAAATATAGACGAAACTCTGTCACAGTAAACACTGCATGTTAAAGGCAATCCGTGGGAAAGCACTACACTCAGAAAGGCTGACCCTTCAACTACGGAAGTAGCTGCAATCTGCCACGCACAAAAACAAGGGTGATGAGTGACTCACATGGCTCAGACACTTCTCAGCTTTGCACAGCAGTGACATCCACATAAATGGAGAATTTAGTCTTCCAGCCTAGCTGTGTTAAAGACCAGTTCCACCCACATCTGATCATGTGAATTTCAATTAACCTAGTTGACAGATAATATTCATATGTCCTTATGAAGTACCCACGGCAATTCAATGTGTGTATATGATGTGTGATAAATCAGAATGAATGTGTTCACTTCATGAACCATTAATCATACTAATCATGCTCATCTGTTCTTATTTTGAAATATATCATAGATTGTTTTAATCAATAATCCTACTATGCTAAAATAGAACCAGATCTAACTCACTCACTCTGAATTTTTGGTGCCCCTTACTGAACTTCTCAGAGGTCATTATGTTAAGGGAAACCAGCCACAGAGAGACACAGACCACCTGGCCTCAGTCATCTGTAGAAAGCAGAGAGAACAGAAGAGGACAATGGTCACTAAAGACTGGGAAGGGAGCAGGAAGAGGTGGAGGGATTCAGTCACTCAGAGAAATCAGCCCCATGCAGTCTATTTTGCGGTCAGGTGCTTTTGTTAGCAGCAAATAAATGTAAAATATTCATCATTTTCCCCTTTTTAAATATGATTTAATAAAGAAACAAGGAGAGAGGGGAAAAGAAGAAGGAAGAAGAGAAAGATGAGGAGATAATATGCCCTGGTGCATTTGTTAAAAACTTAAAACATTTTGGAGGGTATAAAAGAATTCTAGTTTATGAATGAATACTGACAACTTTTTTGCTTTCCAGTGTCTTTCATCCAAACCACCAGTGTGCATGGTCAAAACAAATATTTCTTTAAATTTACTAGGTACTCAACAATTAAATAAGAACCACCTGAAACAAAACAATAATATGTACTCAACCTCTATATAACTCACTTTAACACACTGTTGGAAAAGTAGTATGTTATGTTGTACATTTCACAGAAATGTAAATTATTCATATGCAATAAATTTCTTTGATTCCTAGATACACTGGTGATGAAACTTAATGCTACTGATGCAGATGAACCAAACAACTTGAATTCAAAAATCGCCTTCAAGATCATAAGACAGGAACCTTCTGACGCACCAATGTTCATCATTAACCGAAATACGGGAGAAATCCGAACAATGAATAATTTTCTAGACAGAGAGGTTAATTTCTTCTTTAAATAGGTTCTTTACTTGAGTGACTGCTTCTGAAAGCAAGGTTTTAAAATTTTAATTATATGACATTTCACGAAACATTATTAAGTATTTTAAATGAGAAAATGAGAGTGTTACATTTTATTCTTACATCTTTCATTCAATCAGTTGAATAGGAGTTGTTTTAAATTAAGAAAACTATACTGTGAAAACACAGGTTAAAATCTGCAGAAGGTACAGCCAAACTCCATTTTTAAAAAGATATGTTTTTTGAGGAAATAAACATAGAAATACTTGGTATTATTTCCCCATCTTAATGAATCACATTACACATAAGCATGGTAGATGCTCCAAGATTATTTACAGTTCTTTTGACAGCAGGTTTTTTTTTTTGCTTCCCTTTTAAATTATTCTGACAACCCAATTACTCATACTTTTAGAAAAGAATCACAAAATCAGAAAACTGGATAGTAAAAATAAACAACTTCCAGACCAAATTTTCACTTACATGTGATAACTGATTGTTAAAAGATTAGAATTAGTATTATATGACTTCTATCAAACTATGGAGCCTCATTTCTTGATTTAAAAATTCCTAGTTTTCTTCTTTTAAAAAAAATCATTAAAATATAAGGTAGAAAACCTATGTGCACATTAAGAGTATGAATTATTTTCTGACTGATATTCACTGAAATTTCATTTTAATTAGTATAGTCATTCAAAAATGGAAAGCCCTCTATTAATGTCTCATAGGTTTAGACAAATCATATTATTTGTATATTTTTAATGGTCCAAATGTGATCATCTTCTAAATTAGCTAACATCCTTTTTCACTTGTCTGAGAGCTCCCATTAGAAATGATTATTTAGCTTTTTCAAACTTTCTTAAGCAGACCAGTAGGATTCTTTTAATATCCAAAGTTTCAAGAAAGGAAGGCTATCAGAAGTAAAGGAACTCTGCTATGATTGGTAACCCTGGGGGCACAAACCAATCTCAAGATGACTCTAAGTATGAATGCCCAAAATTTACACTTATAATTTTGAATAAGCATGCACTTATGCATGAGTCTAGAAAAGGCTCCAAAGCTTTTGCCCGTTTTTAAAAAGGTAAGCACCACTGTACAGAATAAAATACAGACACAACATCGATATCTCAATTGCCACAACTCTCCACTTCCCCAAAATACAAACCAATTATCATCTCTATTTTTCTTGTACACTTGGGGGCCAGCTTATATCAAGTGTGGAATTTTTGTGCCATAAACCTCCGGTGAAACAGTGTCTCTTTGGTCACTCAAATCCATTTCATACTTTATAAACTTTTCTAGCCCTATGTGTCACCCTATCTCTGTCATAGATTTGTATAAATATTGAGCCCATGTTTTAAGAGAATTTTGCATAGGATGGAGTAAAGTTGCCTGTGTCAGGCGTGACACTGTATATGATGTGTTTCTGTAGCAATATGGCCAGTATTCGCTTGCTGTAAAAGGCTCAGACCGAGACGGCGGAGCAGATGGCATGTCAGCAGAGTGCGAATGCAACATTAAAATCCTGGACGTCAACGATAACATCCCCTACCTGGAGCCGTCTCTGGTAAGGATTTGTTCTTGAAAGTGTAAGTTAGTAATTTTGAGTTCATCACACTTTAAAATTTATACAGACAATTCCGTCTGCTGATGTACTTTTTATATTTGCTAATGTACAAGGGAAATGTAGAAACATTTTTTGGTTTTAGTTTATGCAAAAAGAAAAAAGGATTTAAGCAATAAAAAGTGAGATTATAAACACAGGTTTCATTGCTAAATAGCAAATAACTCCGCATTTCAGTAAAAGCCTAATATGGTTCTTCTGTCCCACTGTTTTCTTTCTATCTTTTTAATTTCTGGTTTCAGCAACGCGTATTTATTGAAGAAAACACTCTGAATTCAAACTTGCTCCAACTTAGAGTAATTGATCTGGATGAAGAATTCACAGCCAACTGGATAGGAGTAATTTTCTTCATCTCTGGAAATGAGGGCAACTGGTTTGAAATAGAAATGAATGAAAGAACAAATGTAGGAATTCTTAAAGTTGTTAAGGTATGCTATAATTATCTCAAATACTATAGCTTTGTTTTTGATCTTTTTTCAAAATGTTAAGTTTAAAGTAAAATTATATTAACATTTTAAGAACTCAATTGAGTGAGAGAATAAATATTACTACATTTTAAAATTACATATGCCATAAAACTTTTTTTAAGTGAAATCTTTCTGCTTATATAATTTCAGGAAAACAGGTATTGAACTTTAATTTCAATCTTTTTACCAGGACAGTATTTCCAAAAGATAATATAAATTGAAAACATTTTGAACATGAATCTTATTTTATGCTTAGAATAAAGTAGGATTAATCACTGAGATTAATGTTTTAGGAGTATTTTAAAGCAAATTTTAAAAATGTGTGTCAGCATTATATGTCAATTTCATGCACTAAGAATATTTGAAAGTTGTTTATTCCTCCAGTATGTTTTTCTATAATTAAAGTTAAATTATTATATTTGTTGAATTACCATATTCACTTTTCACTGTGGTACTGACCACGGCTTAGTAGAGGAATATATTAGAGATTGAGTTCTAATGGTTCACCACATTGACCCACAGAAGAATTATGTCTGAGATGTGCAGAGAAAAAATAGCTAACTCCTAACAGACAAGAAAGCTTTCCCCCTAATCTGTAGACTCACAGACTTAATACTTTAAATATACAGTAGCTGTCTATGGGTTACACAGAATGCTTATAAGATATGTTCTTCACAGTAAAATGTAATCCATCATTGAGTTCTTTTTCTTTTTCTCATAATAGCTGTGGGAAACTGACTTTTAAAGAATTCTGTCCCCATAGAAATGTGTGGTCTTTTGCCACATTCATTTTCATGACATGTCACCAGGCTGATAGCTTCCATTTACCTCAAACAGTGCACGGGTATTTTAGTTTCTCTCTCTCAGAAGCCCTAAAAATAAGGCTATGTAATGCCTATATTGCAATAAAGAGATCCAGGCTCAAGGAGAGTGGTATATTGCTTAAATTATCATAGTGTATAAGTGAACAACCACCATTCGAATCTAGGCTTCCTAGCTATGAAATTCACATTCTTTCATCACTAGGGCAATTAGGTCTTGCTCCATTTCATCCCACATAATGGTGTTATTTTAAAACTTATTTTACCTAGTAGCTCTCAGTATCTCTGTACAATAGGATGGTAATTGTTCTCCCAGACGTAATGTCATATATTCAAATCTTTGTTAGAAATATAAAGAGATATTTTGGAAATGTATATATATATATATATATATATATATATATATACACATATATATATATGCTAACATAGCTATTCTTTAAATTATAAATAAAACCAAAAACTAGAATAAATATTCAAAATTTTAGCTAAATAAGAGAGATAAAAAAAGAGAGAGAGATCAATGTGTAAATCTCTATTCATATCTAAATTACTTTCAAGTGAATATTTAGAAAATTATATTTGGTGCATGAGGGAATAGTTTTGTAAATTTTCTTAATTATGATTTTTATATCACTTTTCATAATGAAAATCATCACTTGATTATTTTATAATGTAAAATGAGGTTTTTTACTAGAATATATTGAAGAAAATGAGGGTTTCTTCAATTATATATATAATAACATTCTATTATCCAACTTACTTGAAAAGTCACAATTACAAAAGCAAAATTCCTTCCAAATAATTCTTTATGGATAAAACTAGTCAAATCATCAGACCTCAAAAATAGTTGACCCATACTTTGTTACAAGTAGAGCCACATTTTTTGAAACATGTAATATAAATGCTAACATAAATTATCTTTGTACTACAAAATTCATGAGTTTGACCATCTGGGTTATTTTAAATTTTTAACTTGGGCAATTAGAGTTCATGAGCCACATTTTCTTCAAACTTTTCCACAATAGATATAGTGCCACTGGATATTTTTCTTCTTATATTGTGTTTGCATGCATTACATTGAATTGAAGATTTTAAAAGTAATAAATTGAATGTTTTTATGTATTTATCATTCATTATAAAAGTATAAGAAATTATTTTTTACTATTCTGAAAAGACTCATCCTTCTGGAGTTTTTCAATACTAAAACTATTGTGCTCTTTTCTAGCCCCTAGATTATGAAGCTGTGAAGAATTTGCAACTCAGTTTTGGTGTTAGAAATAGAGCTGAATTTCATCAATCAATTATATCCCAATATAAAATCACAGCTACTGTAGTCTCTGTGACTGTGAAAAATGTAATTGAAGGCTCAGTATTTCGCCCGGGTTCAAAGACTTACGTGGTAACAAGTAACACGCAAGCGAATCAGAAAGTGGGAGAGTTTATAGCTACTGACCTGGATACAGGTTTAGCTTCAACAACAGTTAGGTAAGAGTGATCGATTCCAACTTTTACCACATACTGAACCTAAACACAAATGTTGTTTTCAGGAAGTTTGCATATCTGAATTAAAACATTTTCCATTATTTTTGTAACCATCATTCAATTTGCATAAAAGGATTGACCGCTGAATTGTTACAGTGCTTTTTTTTAAACATAAAATTTTGTGCAAGATGTAAGATGTGAAACTGTAATGATGTAATACTAGAAAATTGTATCTAGAAAGTTTTGGCACAACTTATTGGTCTTATTGGTCAGTTAGCTGGTGACCTTGTGCTGGGTCTTCCCCATGTTGTACCCCTGACCCTGATCTACCTCCCTGCCAGAGAAGATTTTATGGGACCAATTTTATCTTTGCAAAATTGCTTAGCTTGAAATTGACTAGATTTAGCTCACCTTGGCTATTTTCTCTGTTTTAATCAACACCAAATATTGGTCAGTAATTTTATGTTGAAAAACTAGTTATATTAATGAAAAATGAGGCTATGCCATTTCAAAAATTCTCATATCTGTCCTTGATTTAACACTGTGTGCATCGGCATGTGTGTGTTTATTTGCACGTGTGACTGTAATCACGAACAACGGGACAAAGATATCATCAACGGTGAGAACGATGGGAGTTCTTTCTCCACAGCCTCTTCACCCAGTGCGAGTGTTTTTGTCCTCACTGCTGTCACACTGGATCACCAGTTAACAGACCTTTTTGTACCCCACAGTTAATGAGTTCTCTCAGGGAAGCCTCACTTACACCCCAGCTCTTCTAGAATTTCTGCTCCCTGGGCTTAGCACAAAGCCTGAGACAGTTACCTAACCATGTTTGCTTCAGAAGTATGCACAAGAGAAGAGAAACAGCAAGGTCAAAGATGAGGAGAAAAGGAAAATAGAATAAAGGCACAGGCAAGCACATAGTCTGGAATTTAAAGAGTCTTGGGAAGTCACTGCGCATATAGAAAGGAGGAGCAGATACAGGAAGAGAATGCAGGTCAAGGTCATGAAGGCATAGAATTCTCTGTTGTCCTAGTGGTGGCTATTGTTGCTATAAAAGAATGGTTTATCCTTGGTCCAGACCAGAAAATCCCAGGGTCTAGACCCTCCAGGATAGTTTTGCTGTCACCAAATGGAAATACAAGTGAAAACAAAAAGAGTACTCTGCCACCCAAATGCGCGTTTCTAATATTCCATCAGAAATGGTTGCTTGGTCATTCTTTTCTCTTAAATTAAATCTTTTATCTGCTTCTGAGTGGATGCATATAATTGGTACTACCTTCAAAATGAAATTCTCTAATTTAATTAAAAAGTATGTCTAGGTTTTATGTCTACTGACTAGAGGGATATATTTTATATTTCAGAAGTCTTTTTTAGATAGTTGACATTAATTTGTAGTTTTCTTTTAAATACAGGTATGTTATGGGAGATAATCCAACCGACCTGCTGGCTGTTGATTCAAGAACAGGCGTACTCACTTTGAGAAACAGAGTTACCATGGAACAGTATCAAATGCTTAAAGGAAGATACCAAGGAACAATTTTATCTATAGATGGTAAGATATCAATTTAACTTCTTTTCCTTCTGGACAAAGCTATACAAAAATGTATTCATAATTTAAATTTTCATTATTTCATTTTATTATTGCATTTTAAATAAAATTTTTCCTATAAAAGTAATCATATTGGCATTATAAATTCAAATCTTTAATACTATTACACATTACAATTTAGTGGCTAAACCCATTAGCTCTGAAATGAGACTGGATTGGTATCTTGCCGTCATTTACTATTATAGAACCTTAGAGAAGTTATTGAACTAGTCAATACTTCAGTCATCTGTTAAACAGAACAATATAAATTTAGAAGGAAGTGATGATAATAATAAAAATTAAAAAAAATAACTATAGTAAAGCTGAAAGGTCATCGGGATTTTATACCATATCCATTGGGTCTAAAGCCACTGTCGTTACATGCTTTAGAGTGTTTCTTTTTTAATTCAGAAAAGCAGACTCTTAGTAAAAATTAGTCAATGCACCGAGTTCTAGTGTTACATTAATGAAAAGTCAGGCAGCTGAACTCACATCTATGCAGCAGCACCAACACAATAACCTTAAACAAGCTAGCCCTATATTCTTACTCAGTAATTGCACTTTGAATAATCCTAGGAAGCATCTTAAGTATAAAAGGCTTAATGCACTAAGATGCTAAGTACAGCACTACCTCCAATAAGTAAATGTTGCCAGAAATTCCAGTAAGTAATTGAGAAGATACCCCATGGTTAAGGTTCTCCTGATATAAAGTTACGTGGCTATCAGAAATTATGATAATGAAAAGCATATTAAAACATGAAGGAATGATTTTCAAAGTAAAAATATATATAGAACGAGTCATGTGGTTTTATCAATGTAGTATAAATAAATTATCCTTAGAAATTTTAATTAAGGATAAAATATTATGCCCTCCAAGTCAACAAGGTGTCATCCTTGGTTGTCCTTGGCTATAATAGGTTTATTTTGAGGTTTTAGTTTGCTTCATCTTATAATTTTCAAATTATATGTACTGTCCAACTACTTAAAATGTAAAGAAATAACCCAGTAAATAATGCTCCTAACAATAATAATGTTAGTTATACTGACATAATTGATGGACTTAAAGAGCTGAGTCACAGACAAGGGGGATTATAAGAAGTTACTGAATCGACAGGAATAAAGACATTCAAATAAGTACTGGGGTAATATGAAAATAGTTCTGTATTATTCAGCAATTATTACATCGATTGGATAAAATATTTCTTCCACTTTGTACCTTGTTACAGATTCTCTTCATAGAACTTGCACCGGAACAATTATCATTGATATTGAAGGTTTTGGCGGGCCAGGAACCCAGAGCAGTACAGACGGTAGTACCAATACTAATACGGGTACTCATTCCGATGGCACGAAGACCACTGAAGATGTTACTACTCCCGACATATATGCACAAACCAGCACTCCAAATGACTTAAGTGGAGGAAGAACAACAGGAGGTGGCAGGGAACCATATGTGAACGGAAGAACTTTTTCAGATAATGTGCACTTTGGTCCTGCTGGGATTGGACTGCTCATCATGGGATTCCTAGTCCTAGGGTGTAAGTATTTTAACAATTCTGTTTATATGTGGAAGAAATAAGTTTTCTGATCCATTGATGAAATATATTTTGCAAATTGTTATTTTGAGCAATTATGAAGAAAGTTCTACACTTGGTACTGGGTTTACAACATGAAAAAATGGAGCTGCAGGCTCCCTTCTCGGACAGACAGCCAGGGCAGAGCCTTGTTCATAGTCTATCTCACAGTGGGAGAGAAGCACCATGACAAGCACAGTCAAATTCTTTGTGAAAGAAGACAATCAGCGATAACTTACTGAAGCAATCAGAAAAGGCTGCTTAAAGAAAGCAAACTCCACATTGAGTTTTAATACATGAGAAAGAGCCTGATAGACAAGAGAGAGGGAACACATGATGAACAGAAAAAAGTCTAAAATGAGAAAGCAAGGTACTGTAGTAAAAGCCTCCCAGGAGAAGAGAAGAAATGACCTGCTTGACTGTGCGGCGACATCTGAGACCAGCATGATCAGCAGAGGCTGGATATGGCTGGGATCTGATGTTTGCCTAAAACTGTGCAGTTTAATAGAAGGAGGCATCAGAATAGACCACAGCCTGCAACCCATTTTTAAAATCTTCATTACCTGAAAGCCTTTTTGAGCCTTGCTTTTGTCATCCATTAAACAATTCTATTTGTATCCCATAAAATTGTTATGATGATGGGAACAAAAGTACCACACATGAAGCAGTAGAGGTAGGTCCCAGGGGAAGGATCCAGTGGATCCTCCACGCGGTGTCTCGCATTGGCTTGGATGATGCGGAAGTGGAGATGAGTGGAACGCTAGGGTCTGAGGAATGAGAAGGGGGGCTGTGAAACCAGCAGGCAGAAACACGGATGCAGTCCACTGATGCAAAGACCCCATGACAATTTCATACAATCTTAGTGTCAGAAGATGCCTCACAGATCTAATTAAAACAAGTAAAATATGAATTGAGAGCACATTTTAAATTTTTCATTCCTTTTAATAAACAGCTATAAATAGACATGTTGCTAAATTTGACAAGTATATTTTCTCTGACTAAATAACTCATCTTGCTGAACATTTTAATCAGTATCAATCAACCTAAACCACAGATTCTGATACGCTGATAACAGCTGAGTTTCTTTCCCTTTAAAATATACTTCAAACATGAAATTTCTATATTAATAGGAGTGCTTATTGACTCAGAAAAATTGAAATAATTACCAGAAAAAGTTCTATGAAAGGAAGAACAAGTTTAAAACAAAAATATTTTCATCAAAATCAACAAAGGCAAGAGAAATGTAAAAATTCCAGGAAATGGACAGAATGTAACATAAAATATATATGACAATATATAATTTTCCTATTGGTTAGCTGTGCTGATTATCAACCAACATGACAAAACTAAAATTTATTACTTTATGAAAGTAATTTAAATATCAGGTACTGATCATTGTAACTATAAATAATATCTAATTTTAATTTTGAATTTGTTTTCATGTCGGTGACTAACTTTGAGTAGTACACTTAGTAAAACATTTTAAAATTACATGTGGATTTTAAAGTCAACCCCACTAAATTTAAGACATTTAAACATAAATTCAAAAACATTTATCAAGATTATATTCTACAAAAAGAATGGTTTAAATAAGATATTAAAAGGATAAATAAAATGAGTATTTAAACAGATGAATGCGAAAACTAACAGAAAAAGTCATGATAAATTGTGTGATATTTTCTATTTGTGTGAGAATAACTCAAGGAAAAGGAATCTGTGTAGGGGACAGTATCAGCCTCAACAAGAATAATTGCTCAATGCATGAATAAGATTTTACCATTAAAATAAAGGCGAGCATGTGTGAGCGCCTAGAAATGAGAAAAGACGTGAAGGAGAAAACAGAAGAATCAAACATTTTGCTGATGTCAGCTTTCTTTTTCTCACCTTTACTGCTTTCCTGAGTAAATGACAGGGGAAAGTTTTATCTGTTTATAATTCTCTATACAACACTAATACTATAATTTTAATACCATAAAAATTAAATTGACAATATAATAATTGACTACAATATTATATAGATCATTAATATAATATTAAACTGACTATCAATATCACATCTCTTTTGGTGTCTGACAATTATAGTTTGTTTTCTGGAATTTTCATAATAATTTTAAACTCAAATGCAGTTCTATTAAGAATTCAAAATTATTCGACGGCAGCGAGGCCACCAAATGCACCCTGAATCTCAGGATAGGAAAAAAGCGAGCACCCGAGTCCGGTTTGTGTGACACTTAACAAACCAAGATGGATCATAGCTTACGGACCGGATTCGTTTTTGAGCTAGGACTGCACGCTGTGAAAAGTGTGAGGGAAGCCCCGCTCAAATTTCAGAACACATAAAATATAACTTTTAAAAAGATTGATAGCTGGACCGATGGGTCTGACTTGGCATGACTCAAAACTTATTCTTCAGTCTTCTTTGCAGTTTTTATTTCAAATTGTAATTTCGAAACTGTTTTAAAATATGTGAAATGAAAACCATAAATGACATGCATGCACCTAACTAATAAGACACCGCAGACTGTGGTGGCAGGCCCTCTGACTCTGGCTCCTGTCTCCGCAGTGGTCCCCTTCCTGCTGCTGTGCTGTGACTGCTCGGGCGCCCCCGGGGGCGGCGCCGGCTTCGAGCCGGTGCCCGAGTGCTCGGACGGAGCCATCCACCCGTGGGCCGTGGAAGGACCGCAGCCCGACCCCGGAGACCCCCGCTTCGGCCACGTAAGTGCTGAGCCTGCGGCCGCCTGACTCGGTCCCCCTACTCTGCTCCTGATTGGCTAAGGGTGGTGGTGGGCGGAGTCCGGAGGACCTCAGAATTAGAGGGGAGCCCAGGGGAGGCTCGCTGAGTGGGGGTCAAGTTTCAAACAGACTCCAGAGGTTTCCAACGTCGTAAGCATTTAGGAAATCTGCAGTAATTCTGCAAAGGTATGATGTAAGGAGAAAAGACTCATGACAAGTGGGAAAATGTGGCTTCCTGTCTTTTAGGATGTAAACTCGGTCTGCATACCATCAATACCGGGCGGTGGTGCAATGATTGACAGCTCAGGTGAGAAAAGCTTTGTAACAGCTCAAATCATGACGAAGCAACTCTTGGAGGCTTTTCCTTTTTTGTTTGTTTGTTTGTTTTTAAATGACTTTGAAAGTTTTTATATAATTCCCTTTTCGGTGACTAATTTCTATATTAAAGAAAACCTACTGTACTACTGTTATGTGCTATGCTTTTTAAATCTTCAATCACCAGACAGTAAGTAGATAACATATTTAAGACCTCTATAAATAAAAGTACTGAATTGTAACTGTGGGTCAATTTTGTCACGGTTTTTTTTAATCTAACAGAAAATTTCATTTACTCAAATACTTACATATATGATTGATTAAAATTTAAGTGCCATCAATTAAAATAGATCTGTGCTGTTATTGAGGCTACAATCTCCTTCTACTATTTAATAATTCAAAATGGATCAAACTTTAGCTGCTTATTATGACAAAAAAAATGCATCAATTTTTTTCTTTTTTGGAACAGATACTGTTTATGTAGTTCAGATTAACTTTGATCTCACTCTAGATAACCCAAGCTGGCCTTGACCTCTCAGAAGTTCTCCTGCCTCAGCCTCTCAAGTGCTGGAACTACAGGCATATGCCAGGAATCAATTCTCAGAATCAGCATCAATGTTGACCTAAAAAAATTTGGTCAATACATGAAATATTATCAAAATCTACATAGTGGATATTCTGCTTACACAGCAGGAAGACTCTAAATACAACTTGCCTCAAAATCAGAGTCAAGACCAGCTCATAGACAAAAGCTAGAGAACAATTAGAATCTCATAGTAAGCGGATAGCTATCACCATAATAAAAAGAACAATTAAATTCTCAAGTCCATGAAAATAGTCATACCCTATTACCTGTTGCAAGGCGAATGTTACTGATTCTCTTTTTTCTCCTAGTCTTTTTCTTTTTTAAAACTTTGTTTTCCTAGTACACATGTGCAGTACATGCAGTTTATAATCATCTTGGGGAACAGCACATGCACATACTACGGCTGGCTCCTCATTTTTTAGTCTCGTTCGCCTTCCTTCCAGCCTTCCTCCCTGGCCCCAGTTCTCCTATCCTGATTTTCATTCTTCTTGATATTAATCTCAGCTCATGTTATGGCAGATAATCTTTACACTCACTGAGGTTATTAGGACCCTGTGCATGGCATGTCTTCATCCCACGTATTTCCCCTTCCCTTCCTCTTCGTCCCCTACCTACCCTTGTTCCACTGGACCGCGTCCTTATTCTTAGTCACTTGCAAACTAATAGTTATTACTTTTCTACTTTGATCACTGTAGCAGGCATAGAAATGTTTATAACTTACAGAACTAAAATGTGATTCAAGGAACTGGAAACGTTACCCTTACAACCTGTTTCTCCTCCTGACCCATCCGTTTTTGTAAATCATTTACAAAAAATCTCCTCACCCCAAACGCAGAACCCACTGGAAGATCCTCTCTTTTCGTTGGTGCCCAGTCGGTTCTCTAGATGTCAAATCATCAAGTCCATCAGTGCATCCTTGCGCAGTTATTCTGCACTAAGTCTTAAACCTTCAGCAAAGCCTCAGAGAAGGCACCAGAGTCATTAAAATATAAAAAGATACACTGTTCCCAAACTCAAGACCTTTAGAACATCAAAGCCATGGGACAGCTGTCCCAAAGTTGAATGCTCTCCGTTCTGGGTCATGTCCACGCTCCCAGCTGCCACCTGACCCGCTTACCCTCCACTCACCCTCAGGCAAGAGCAAACCAAAGACTTCCGCTCAGGGAGGCTCCCTCTCTGAAAGCCTCTGGTTCCCATACCTTCTGGACTCCCTCTAGGTCCAATAACACATTTGGGCTTATTTAGGCCACTCGTTCACCTTTTGAATGAGTATTTTACCCCTCAACTTCCCTCAGTTTGAAATCAAACTCTTTAGAACATAAATTTTTGTGACTGCTGGATAACACCCTCTTCCAGGGCACCACATAGAAGCTTCTCGGCAGATAATGACCAAGGAAACAAATTGATTAATAATTATTTTTAACTCAATATCAGTCAGGTTTTCTCTTTCTTCTTTATGGGTCATCTTCATTCTATTTCTTTGCTCAGAAATGCATACCTGAATGAGGAAACTCTATAAATAAGTTGCTAGTTTTTAGCTCACAAAACACTAGAGAAAATAAATTTAATGTGATCAAACACTTTCAGGTGTTTATACAAACGACTACTGTGCCGGAGAAATGCAAGACCTGGGAGGAGGAGAAAGAACGACAGGCTTTGAACTAATGGAGGGAGTAAAAACATCAGCCGCACCGGAGATGTGCCAAGAATATTCCGGAACGTTAAGAAGAAACTCTATGAGGGAATGCAGAGATGGAGGTCTGAATATGAATTTCATGGAGAGCTACTTCTGTCAGGTAAGGCTTCTATCTATCTGGCTTTTAACAACTCGCATCCGGGACTTCGGCAGGACCCTCTGATTCCCAACCTCTAACCTTTGCACCCAACAGTCTACATTGCTGGGGAATTATATTTCTAAAGCTCTGATCTAACCTTTACCTTACTCTGCCTTTAAAAAAAAAATGGTCAGTGGCTCACAGCTCTATTCTGTCCACAACATGAAGTCCAAATCCTCAACATGACAACTAAATTTATTCACAAATGTCTCCCCTCACCTCCACTTAATCCTCCCCATCCATTCTGCTTGCTGAACTATTTTGCCTTATTCACAGCACACTGTTCGCCTCCGTGTCTTTGCATATGCTGAGTGCCTCCTCAAATGGTCTGCGTCCCATCCTCTCTCTCATAAATTCCTACCCATCTGTCAGGACCCTGTGCAAATGTCTCTGCTTCTCTGCAGTTTTTACAATCAACTCTCTCATCCAGGTCCCTATCTATATTCTTGTAACCCCTTGTGTATTGATTGGATAAGACTCATCACCGCTAGAATCTGTGGGCTTGTAGGTTTACCACCATTTTTAGTGTCTTGTCCATTTATTCTCTATGTTACATAGTCAGGACTCAGCTCAGTACCAGGCACACAGAAAACATTCAAAAGACTCTTCCAGAACACTCTAAAACAACCTGCAGGTGTTACAGGGTGTGAAGCCTAGAGAAATAGCAGAAGAATTAACTTCACCATCTCAGCTAGAGACACGATCACTCCTGATTATCAATCACATGGTCCTCAACCTCCAGCAAGTTCCAGTTTCTGATGCTGCCTGGAAATACACTTCCCCGTCTGCATTCTGGCTCAAAATACTTCACTTATTTCCCTGCCAGATGTGTCCAATACACAGCCCCTCATTTTTGCCTTTTTTTTTTAATGTCGTAAGAAAAGTTATTTTTAAAAAGGAAGGCTTTATTTATCTATGTTACTTATATATTCATATGTAACCTAAGGCAATTCCTCTTCATTCCAACAAAAGAGAGCAAAGAAATGTGAGTCACACATTGGACATTTTAGGGGGTGGCTGATATTTTAAAATAAAATATTGGTCAAAGTCTTTCAAATAGTAATACAAAACAGTGAGACTTGTGCTGAAATACACGTGAACACTTTCTGTTCATGCCCCTGCCCCTGAATACAGTGTCATGAGAAGAAGAATTCTGCCTGGAGGCTTCGGTGCTTGCTCCAGACTCTCCAGAACACCGCTCTCACAGTGACCTCATTGCAATCGCCAATCCAACATCATTTTTCCAAAAACGCTTTCCTTCACCTCCTTACCTGAAAGACCAAATTTCACACACTCCTCTCTTCCTTTCCAGTATCAACCATTCTCTGATGTAAATATTTCTGAATTCTCTGTCTTGTCCAACTAAAACGTAGTCCTAGGAGGGAATGATTTTATCTGCTTTTACTTATTTCTGCATAGCCTCATTCCTAACAGAGTATCTGCCCAGTACCGAGGACTGAATGTATGTTTTTAATTAATGGCATAGTGCGTTGACTTGCTATTAGATGCTTCTGATAACCTGAAAGTTTGCAGTCCAGCACTGAGACCTGTAAAGGCAACATGAAAGTGCACATCTGTGGCTTTTCAGGATAGAATTGATAGAGATTCTATTTTTTTAAAATTGTCTATAATCACCTTCAGATCTGAATCCAAAAATGGCATAGATTCAAAGTTAGTTTTTCCTGCTGCATTGATGTTGAAAAGCTACACTAAAATAAACCTTCGTGGAACTATCACATTCATTCCCATCCAAAGAAAAGAAAATACAGTGCTGAGTGAATTTCATGAACTACACTTTTAGACTGAAAATAATACACATTTTTGTATACTTCCTTGTAACTTTTAAAAACATTTTTATGTGCTTCCTAACTTTTTTTCGTGCATATATTTTTATACCTCCTTCCAACTTGGTTATTTTTCTATGTGATTTTATGTTCAAAGTACACTATTTTTTTTAAAAGTTCATCTAAAGTAATTTTTTTTTTTGTCTTTTTGAGACAAGATCTCACCCTGCAATTCAGACTAGCCTTGAACTCACTTTGTGACACAGGCTGCCCTTGAACTCATTTGCACCCTAGGCGGGCCTTGAACCCGAGGTAGTCCTCCTGCCTCAGCCTCCCAAGTGCTGGGATTACACGCATGTGCCACTACTCCCAGACAAAGTGCATTTTAAAACTCAAAACGCATTATTAGGGTTACGATTAAAATGACTTCTAATCAAATTCTTATGAGTAATTATAAAATGGTTTCAAAGCATGTCTTACAGGTATTAGAATCTTATTTTATATATTCTTCTTTGGTTATTCTCTTAAAAGAAATGAAAGCTGTTGTGTTGCCACTAAACATGTGTTCGTAATTCCATTTTCTCTTTCCTCTATAAATGCAGAAAGCATTTGCTTATGCCGATGAGGAAGAAGGGCGCCCGTCCAATGACTGTTTGCTGGTGTATGACATTGAAGGTGCAGGCTCCCCCGCTGGCTCTGTGGGGTGCTGTAGCTTCATTGGTGAAGACTTGGATGATGGTTTCTTGGATACCCTGGGGCCTAAATTTAAGAAGTTGGCAGATATCAGCCTGGGCAAAGAACCTGAAAGTTATCCAGACCCTGATCCCTCCTGGCCTCCTCAGACCACTGAACCAACCTACCCTCCGCAAGTCTCCCAGCAGGTCGGCACCACCATGGTCGTTTCAGAGAGTACCTACCCCTCGGGACCCAGTGTGCACCATCCTTTGCCTATTCCCGACCCTCTGGGCTATGGTAATGTCACTGTAACCGAGTCCTACACCACTTCTGGAACGCTGAAGCCCTCTGTCCACCTTCACGATAACCTGCATGCACCCAATGTGGTGGTGACGGAGAGGGTGGTGGGCCCGATCTCCGGCGCTGATTTGCATGGAATGTTAGATATGCCTGACCTGAGGGACGGCTCAAATGTTATAGTGACGGAGAGGGTCATAGCGCCAGGTTCGAGTCTACCCACCACTCTGACTATCCCAACTCCTATTGAGTCTTCGAATGTGGTAGTTACAGAAAGAGTCATCCAGCCAACTTCTGGCATGATAGGCAGTCTAAATATGCACCCAGATTTATCCAATGCCCACAATGTGATTGTGACAGAGAGAGTTGTTTCTGGTGCTGGGATTAGTGGCATTAGTGGAGCAGCTGGGATAAGTGGTGGCATGGGCAGTGGTCTGGGTGGGGCTGGTGTAAGTGGTGGTGGCATCGGGCTGGGTGGACTGGGTGGAGGTGGGGGCCTGAGCAGCAACATGGGGGGCACAGCCACCATCAGCCACACGAGGAATTCCTCTGACCATCACTTTACCCACACCATGGGGTCTGCCTCCCCTGGCACGACTCGAAGTCGAATCACAAAGTACAGTACGGTACAGTATACCAAGTAGTTGGCATCCAGAGCTCTTGCTTGTGGTAATTATGGCTTGAATTCCAATTCCCACCACCCAAAATCTAATAACACAGTTTATGATGTACAGCCAGGTGCTAGGAGCTCCACTCTGCTGTGAGAAACTACAATGGGAAAAATAAACGGGAACATTGCCATGGGGGAAGAGTTCTCTGTACATTTGTAAAGTGTTTCCTTAGAGCAATATAAATGACCTCATGACAAGGGACTAAAACTTGAGGCATGGTTTCTGTGTGCCTTGTGGTCTGTTGGGTCTTCTTTGTGTCTATGTGGCCTGTAGTTTTATAGCCAGCATGTGGAGTAAATAAAATGTGATCATATAAAAGTACTGCCTTAGCATGGCAATTGGCGTCATTTTCCCGTAACTTGCCACGTAACTCAGGCAATATTCAAAAATAACCAAACATGCAATACATTGCTGTATGTAATATGAAATTCTGCCCACCAATTTCACGGATAATTAAATAGAATGCCAACCACACATTCAGAACAGGGTTGACCACTGAAGAATCTGATTACCTAATCAAGTCTACAGCCACCAAGCCCTGTTGCCTTGACTGCCCTTAACTGCATAAGAGGAAATAAAGGTCAGGTTAGGAACGGCTCCCTAGAAAGAAAATCCCATTAGAAACGAGCCAACAGAATGAGATGTGCTCAGGGTAAACTGGCAGTGTGAGATCTTGAACCTCAAGGAGAGCCTTCCGTTAAGAGTCAAGGTTTCTCCTGACCCCAGTTTAGGATTAATGGAAGCTGTGATCTTGAAGAATATTGCTTCGCAGGGAGGTTTTGAAACAACACACTCATTTTTCTCTTTACCACTGTGGTTGCAAATTTATAATAAAGGAAAACTCCTCAGACTGAGTCAAGCCATAGGTGACAGGATTGTCATCACCAGTGGTAACAACCTCCCAGCTAAGCAGATGCAGAGACACTGCATTGTCAGACTAGGTTTTAAGCAAGTGTTATTCATTTGTTACATAGCTCCCAAGTTAAAATGATACAAGCTGAGCTGTGGGGGGGAAAGCTTGCAGCATGGTTAAGATAAGGGGGGATTTTTAAGGGGATCCTAAAAAGAACATGCAAACTGTTTTAAATGGGAAAGTTAGAAAATAATTGTTCAGTAAAGCAGTAATTGAACTAATTATTAGCTGTGAGTTTAGTATTTTCTTTTATTTTTTTTTTGTACCTGGAATCGAACTCTGGACCTTGTGCTTACCAAGGGGTGCTGTGCTACTGAGCTGTATCTCTGGTCCCAGTACTTTTTTTTAAACAACCCTCTGTTGCCATTTTGAAGTGATCAGCCACGAACCTTTTACAGAGTTGATGATACTGTGTTGGAAAGAATAAAATAATACTAGACAAACCCATTTCTTTCACCCCCTAACTAAATTTTTCACTAGCATAAATTTTAAAATCCTTATTTGATTTGTCAATAAATTCTTGGTTTATAAATGTTCTGATTTATAGATAATTCCCAAATAATATGGTATGATACATTTTTCTAGCTTCAAAATGTAGTAATGTACTATTTATGATGTGTTATTTCTGTGTATTTGCTATATCATGTTTACTGGTTACAAATCTCTAAAACAAACAACACATTCTAAGAAATAGGTAAATTTACCATTGTGTGGTAGAGGAGTTGTTTGGGGTTTTTTTTCCTATGCCTTAAAATTCATTGTTAATATAAGTTTACTAAAGTAAGACTGGCTACAGCAAAATAAAATTAAAAAACAGTTCTTCCTCCTGGAGTTGTGAATTGCATACTATAAAAGATATTTCTCCTAGACAACTACTCAAATTTTCCAGGGTGTTACGAGATTAAATAATCAATATTCAACTTCCAAAGCTTGTCACAGAGGGCTGGAAATGAATTACTTTACCTAGAGCCAATTTTCTCCATATATCAGTAGATAAGGTTCATATGGTAAACATCCCAATATACATCTTACCTTAGCTCTGTAGAATATGTAAAATTTTAATAATCTGTAATATGCTAAAATGCGGAGGTGTAAATAAAGTCATTCAAAGGGAGTCTTTCTTTTATTTTTTCTGCCATTTAAGGGATTGTGTTAAGAATGGGAAATATTTTTCCAGAAATATAAACAAAAGGCAATTTATTGAAATATACTTGTGCATAACTATGTCCAGGAATCTAAAGGAATACAAATAATTATTAATTATTTTTTAATATTACTTAAAGGAAATGATATTTGACCACAAGAAACATATGTTTTATCCTGATGTATCAGAGTAAATCCTTTCTTAAACACCAGAAAAGTTCTAGATATACTTTTGAGGGCTAACAAATAACATAGTCACTACCTTTAGTTCACAAAACTATGGGAAATCCAAATTTTAAATGGTAGAATTAATCATTCATATTTCTAGGAAGACACTTTCAAATAAAATTTTTTTTGTAGGATTGGACAGTGAGGTTTAGTTTAGCCCTAAATTTTAAAATTACTTTTAAAAGACACCAAACACTCTAAAACTTATTTAAAGGTATATTTTCAATGAGTAGCCTCTGCTGTTATCTTCAGATGCTTTACTCTGACCCATGTGCAGTATTCCATAGACCTAGAAGAGTCATGGAAATCGTTTTATAAATAAATAGCTATAATTTAGTTCCATACTACAAGTTAAATCTTAGGTCAACTTCCTCTTAACAAAAGGAAGAAGAAATAGACAACAATTTAATGCTATGCATATGTGATTTGCAAGTAAGTGACAATATTTATACAGGCAAATTTCTAAAGAAATAATTCTCAGGGGCAAAAAGGAATGTATCACAAATATTGTTCCATTTAATGCAATGAAAACACCACTTTGAATTATTTTGACATTGAATTTCAAATACATCTGCTACTTAATACGTATTCCATGCATAAGGACTGATGTAACTGTATTTGCACTGAAATTTTACAGAAAACTACCTTTTTTAGGGTTATTTATATACTTTCATCTGGATATCAGTTCTACCTTTATGCATAAAGATTTTAGCATGTACTGTAGTTTTCACACCATATAATGTTCTTACAAAATTTTAATTGTGTCTTCACAAATTACATTTTTACATTAAGTAGACGCTTTTACCTGTACAAATCTGATTGTCCTGCAAATCTGATTGTCCACCAGTCACACCACGGTACAACACTTTGTGACACTCTTTGTCTTTTGTAGGAGATTAAAGATATAACCAGTGGCAGAAATAACCATGGCTATTTTGGAAATACATTTAAAATCAAACCAAACTTTTTTAAAGAACTAGACATATTTAATCAATTTTACCTCTTTGGGGATATTTCTGGCATTTTTAAGGCCTCCTCTGTATTGCCCCAGAACATGTAATAGTTTCCACAAAATCTAGATCATTCAGTGTGTTAAGACAAAGCCTGTAATGAATAATTTATTTTTTAATTCACCAGCTTCCATTTAGTTATATTTAAATTACTAAACACTTTATGATTAAACTGTGCTTAGTCTGACTTATTTTTCTTTTGCTGCCTATTTTCCAAGCATTTTAAACTCTACTATTCATCTTTGGTGATGTTTAAACAAGATGCTTTCCTTCGAGCGTCAGTATGGAAGGTTTTGGACTCTTTGGGTGCCAGTTTCTAGCTTGATCGTTTGTTGCCTATTTTAAGATGGTTTGTATTTCCAAACAGTTGTGTTTACAGCAATAAAATGCTTGAGATGCCTCCATTATCTTTTTTTGAATTACAAGGTGGGGGGAGTTTATAGACTATAAGAAATAATTAGACGTTCACCTCGCCTTATTATTTTCATTCCGTATTGAAGGAGATCATTATTTTCTTTTCACAATGTTAATATGTGTTCATTCTCCTGTTCCTCACTTCCGCCTGTCCTCTCACTCCCTGAGGGCATCCGCGTGGAGTCCTGTAGCCATGCCAGGGCTTCCCCCTTGACCAGCTAGTCAGCCTGGCGCAAATGGATAGGCGATTTCTTTTTAAAGACTGAACTTTCATGTTTTTAGTTCTTTACCTTTACATTGTGCCGGTGCTGTTTTTCTTTCATACTCTTAGCTTTTTAATATTTATCTATACTAGCCATTCTTTTTCTTTTATAATGACTTTTCTACTTTTCTATAAATCATGCCATCTGTAAGCAAGCCATGTGGCTATCTGGACACGAGACCCCTGCAGCAGAGGTGTATTCAAGAAAGAACAGGGAGGTTTCTGGGTCGGGAGAGAGGAAGCAGAGGGAAGGGAAGCAGGACAGAGGAGTCTGAGAGGAAACCGGGTGTGAGGCTGAATTTAGCGTTGCAGGTCATAGTAAGTCTCTAAAATTCTGCTCATCATGCAGATCCACTGGGAAGTGTGGGGTGAACAGTCCTCTGCCACATTTGTATTTGTATTTTTGTATATTTTGTCTTTTTGAGACAGGGTCTCCCTATGCCATTCAGGCTGGGCTTGATCTCACTTTGTAGCCCAGGTTGGTCTAGAACTCACAACGATTCTCCTACCTCAGCCTCCTGAGTGCTGGGATTACAGGCATGTGCCACCATGCCCAGCTTCATGTTTGTATTTTTTAAATAGCTCTCTGCCTGAAGTGTTGACACTCATGGAAAGAAATCACAGGATCAAGGAGACTGGTTAGAAGGCTATAGCAAGACTCCAAGTGAGGGGTAGGGCCGTAACAGCTTGGTGATAATAACAACACAAAATTTCTAGGCAGATCAGCAGAGCAGCACAGAGAAAGAAACTGGACACAGGTCCATGAGCCACACATTAAGTTTTAATCTTATCATAAACTTCTTTTAAAAATCAAGCAGAGTAAGTCCAAATGGAGGCTATTAAATGAATCAAAAAATTTGAAAATGATGCCATTTTCCAGTCATGTACTTAGTGACTGAGTTGAACTAGGAAAATTCCTGCAGACTATGAGATACTCACTTTTCCTATTTGGACAAAAAAAGCTGGTAGATTTGGTGTGTCACAATCTGTGACTACTTTCCAGTCATATCTCTTCTTCCTTAACCTCTAATATAAATCTTAGGAAGAGGAGATTCTGCCTCCACAACTTGCCAAAAGTGGTCAGAATATCAAGCTCTTGCTCTTACCAAAATTCACCTTAATGTGACCCAGGATGCAAGTTGCTGCATTTTGCTCAAATGAAAATACTTTCAGCGGGTGATGGTAGCACACATCTATAATCCCAGCATTCTGGGAGTCTGAGGCAAGAAGATCACAAGTTGGAACCGAGGTTTGTCTCAAAATACAAGATAAAAAACAGGGACTGGGGATATAGCTCAGTGCAAAGGACCCGAGTTCAATTGTGGAGTCTCTGGAAGGAAGGAAGGAAGGAAGGAAGGAAGGAAGGAAGGAAGGAAGGAAGGAAAGAAAGGAAGAAAGAAAGAAAGAGGACAGAAAAAGAGAAGAAAAAGAGAGAGAAAAAGAAAAGGAAAAAAGAGAAAAAGGGAGAGGGAAGGAGGCATTGGAGGGAGGGGAAGAAGGAAGGAAGAGAAAAGAAAAGAGAAGGGAATGAGAAAGAGGAAGAGAGAGCTAGAGAGCATTTTCTGTTCAATTCAATAGATAGCAGTTCAAAATATATACATTCCTGCTTCATAAATTGCAGATCTGGCATTCTCCGTTCATTTCGGTTATTGTGTTATACTGGTTCACTGAGAAGCAGACCCAGAGATGAGATTTGAAGGCAATGTTGAAGGAAGTTAAAAAATAAATAAATAGCACTTGGGAGGCTGAGGCAGGCAGATCATTGCAAGTTCACTACAAAGTGAGCCCAAGGCAGCCTGAACCACATAGCGAGACCCTGTCTCACAAAGACTAAATAAATAAATAAACAAACACTGGTAAAAGAGAGAGAGAGAAACAAGGAAAGGCGACACTGCCAAGCTGAAGCCACAGGCATCTGAAGCCCAGTCTGACTGGGGAATACACCGCGAGGAATCCATGTGCAGAACTGTTTTCCAAGCTTTTTAGAACTCTAATACTCATCCCGGCCACAAGGGCGGCAGTGTACTACATGCACCAGCTGCCACCAGCTAGGACTCTGGGCCACCTCTGAGGACAGTCATTCCGTGCACCAGCAGAACATGTGGGTGAAGCAGTTTTAGCACCCTGGAAAGTAGAAATGCGGGAACTAACTGTTTGGGTGGGTGAAGGCGACTGAAACGGTGGGAGCAAAATACAGCAGGGACTCCTTCAAGGTCTGATAGTTCTCAGTGTCTCTGAGCACCCTGGCGAAAGCGCTTACAAGAAACTGCAGAAGTTGCACGGTTGACACCACTTTCTTGAACTTCCCCAATAAATCAGAATGCGTTCTGAGTCATTCCACCAATACAGTCATAGACTGGATAAACAAAGCACAAGAATGTAAAATAGGAATGCCTTCAGGTCCTCCCTTGACATTGATTTGTACCTTCTTGGTTTTATATCGCTTGTATTAATTAGATGCTTGCCTCCCATTGAGTATTGAAACGTATAATCTGTCTCCCATAACGCATGACTTGACTTTACTGATACAACTTCAGTAGTGACCTGAAAAGGTAATTGTTCTGATATCTCTTTACTGTCAGAAATAAATGCTATCAGTTCACTAAGGTTGTCATTTTTGTAAACCCAACATTTGCCAGTGACATCATACAAATCCACCTTGTCTCTGAAAGGAGTTCACGCACCTTATTTTAAAAGACATGCTTATTTTAAAAGATACACGAAACAAAATTATAGTGATTTTATTCACACAAGGCCATGGTAGCCACAGTAGTTTTGGGAGAAATGTGCTCCCAATACTTTGTGAGATTGAGAAATAAAAAAACAATACGTAAAAGATTACCAATGAAATCAAATATATGCAAAAATCCTGAAACTTTTCACATGTTGTTCACGGGGAGATTAAACAGTTCATGCCATGAGGCAAGACTTTTGACAAATACTCCTGTGCCTTAAATGAAAAGTATTTTTAAATATTTAACCATCTTTGCTCTCCATTTATAACCGATAAATAATACTTGGACAGTTACCTTGATTGGCCAAGTAGAAGGCATCTCCTGCAGAGAGAACATGAATTTTACACTCATCACCATGCAGAGAGTTATTATGCTCTGTAAGTGAAGACATTCATATCTTGCTTGATCATTGAGAAATCATCACCAAGAAAACTAATGTACTTTCAATTTAAGAGCAAAGATTAATGTGATCCCTAGGAAATCTGGAACAGAGACCTGGCAATGAGAGACTCCCCGTCTGCTGCGGTAAACACCAGGTCTCAATACCAGTGGAGCTCAGTCCTCCTTGGAAAAAGCCTGCGAGTACTCTGGCTGGACTTCCTTTTGCAACAGTCTTATCATTAACGGCTTAGAAGCCTTCCTTCTGTGATATTATTGTTTGTGAAGAAAGGAAGATGAACTACATTATTACAAGTTGTATAATGTCTTTTAAAAGTCATCAGAGCCAAAGGCCACTATACAAGGAAACAGAATAAAATTTCAAATACCGGTAGAAAGTTGTCAAGAATTAGGTGTGATAAACCTCAGTAACAAACAAGAAAGAAAAATCGTATTTAATGAGTATCATTAAAAATGATATATTAATAAATAGGAAAAACCCTTAGATCTGTATCTAGTCTCATGATCTTTAGTAAACAGCAAATGAATTAAAGATATAAATGCTCGAGAAATTTTGAAAGAATATCATTCAAAGAGACAAGTATAAAGTAATTTCCTTATAAAATATATCTAATTTTAATCTGCCAAAATCCAGGAAGGGAAATAGATGAAGCCATTGTAATGCCCAAACTAAATTAACCTACTCATAGAAACAAACTGAGTCAGCTCTTAGACTTTAACTCTTCATTCTGGTAAGAATATGATTGTCTGACTATTGACAAGCTAGAATCTATAATTAGGGGTAAGCTGAAAAAAAGATTGTAGCTTTTACAACAATAAAAATTGAAAATAGTAAAAATGAAGGTATTGAAGATTTTCAATAAATGATAGCAAAGCCATGATAGTTTTACTCTACTAGGCTCCATAAAACCAAGTAAAAATAGTAAGTATATTCAGAATAGAAAATAAAGTCATCTTCAAAAGAATTTTAAAGCAATAACCAAATCCTCCACCCAAACACACACTTAATACAAACACCCATCTGCTACAACTGAAGAAGTTGTGCCCAAACTAGAAAGGTCTAGAGCTAGTGAATAATCTCTCCAGATCTATCTGAGTTGCTATTGTATGAATACTTGTGCTCTCCCCAAAGCGATGATATGAAAAGATGAGGATTTTAGGAGCTGATTAGGTCATAGGGCAGAACACTCATGAACAGGATAATTACTTTGATAAACTAGGCTTACCAGAGTTCATCACCCCTTCCACCTCACAGGCACACAGCAAGAAGGTGCCTTTTGCGTACTCAGGGCAGCCCCTTCCTAGGTGTTGAACCTGCTGGAATGTTCACCTGGGACTTCTCAGCTGCAGAAATAGAGAAATAAATTTTGATTTTTCATTAGCGATTCGACTTCTGGTATTCTGTTTCAGGAGCCCAGATGCCATAAGGCAAGAGTAGAGGTGTCTCTAAAAGTAACCCAATCCTTCAGAATTTACAGACGTAAGAAAACTACAAAATAATCAGAAGACAGTCATATAGAACACAACTTCATGTCACTGATCAGGAGGGAAGAGAAAGTTGAAGGACAAACTCCCCAAGATGTCACCTTCATTTTCTCTAATTAAGTCGTGTGAGCTTATAAATTAATAATATCAGTAACACAAGAGAAAAATGGAAAACCAACATAAACAGGTCACATAGGAAGAAATGGAAAGGACCAACACCTCCCAGCGGCCTCCGCACATTCACAGACAATGATTTCACAAAAAGAAAATGTCCTTCTTTACCAGAGTAAGAAGTTTCTATTTCTTGCGTTATAAATGCCCATTTCACAAGGCCAGGAAATCACCCATCCCGATAGCTCTGACCTTCCTCCTGAAACCCAGGATTACCTGGAAAACACACTGAGAATGAATAATTCTTGGTCTCATCCTCAGAAACTCCAGTTCAGTAAATCTAAAGCCAAGAAATCTCTGTTTTCTACCTACTGACCCAATAAATACATTTCAAAAATCACTGTCTGTCTTTTAAACTTATAATAAGATTTCTTCCCCAAACAACCTGAGATGCCCAGTTCCTGAATCTGAGTTGCCCCATTGTACCACTCTGCCCAGGAGGGCTTTGCCAGTATCCTCAAAGTAACCAGAGTGACACTTGAGCGATCTTCACACTGAGGTGGGACACCACTGTCATAGTCAGGTGCCAGGAGAGAGACTAGGATGACAGTTTCCAAGTAAGTGTGTATCCAGTGTGTAATCAGTATGTAAGTAGTAGCACAATTTAATGCAGGTCCTGTGACTGGGTGTCCGTGTATTTGGAAGGCATTGCACACCAACGATGTGACGTCACAGACAGAATCAACAAGGAGCCTCTGTTAGTGTGGAATATGATTTTAGGGTGTAAGCCATGGTATTAACATAACTCTTTTGGAAACCGATGTTTAATCGCTGTGACTTTGAATGCCCACTAAATAGCCTGGTTGGCTGGTCCCTTGTTGCCACACATAAATTGGTTTTAATGAGGGACAGGATGTTTATCTTCAGGGCTGTCGACGAACCATCAGACATGTATACACAGCAAATATGCTAGGTCAAAACTAAGACAAGCCTGTTTACCTTTAGTCCGTTCCCCCAGGCCCAGACTAATGAAAACCTTTCTGTTTGTGTCACCTCTAGAAACTACTGCACTACATTTGACAAACATAGTTTAGGACCGTAAATATTTTTGCATTTCCTCTCCTCTAACACCTGCCTTTAAGAAATATGCTTTACTACTTCCGTAATACCTGACAGTAGGCCTATACTATGAAAATTTGATGGAAAACTTTGCCCTAAAATGTCCGTACCTTTGCCTATGTAGATTACATTTCTTTTTTTCAAAGAGAATGTGTACTGGCACATATTAAATTAGCTATGGTGTAACTTTGAAAAATACAAAAGTCAAAGTTATCACTGTGTTCTAGATGGCTGTGATGTGTGGAATGAAAATATTCTGCTATTTGGGACCATATTACAGGAGAAAAACAGTAATTAAATATTTAGAGCATCCCTGAAGTTCAAGGTATAGTTTTACCTGAGCAAATGAAATGTTCCTGCTTGGCTATCAAAGATTAATAGTAAGAAGAACCTACTTTAAAAATTCTCTTCCATGAGAATTCTTATATAAACAACTATTTAACTCAGTTGTTCAGCAATATTCTCTTATGAGAATTTTTATATAAACAATAACTACCTGTCGCAATTGTCCAGCAATGTTTAAAATATGGGAAAAAATTTAACTAATAACATTTAGTCATCAACTATTTTGCCTTTGCATTGTAGATAATACTGGAAAGCAGCTTGGTATTTGTATAAATGGACTGTGAAGCAGGAGGTGACATTCCTACCTTCCTTTTGGCCTCCCTGGGGTACAGCTATAACAAGGATTAAAGAGAAGGGAGATGAGATTGGGTTATACAATCTCCATATGGTATCTTTAGGTATTAATATTCCCTGCTATTTCCAGAATGACTGGAGGTACTCAAGAGAAACAGAAGTAGCTGTTCAATACCTACTTGAGCTCAGAATCCTGACCAAGCTTTGTTGCTAGGATTGTATGTCAAGATCATGCCCACAACTTTCCTAAAGAATAAGTACAAATTAGATGACGGGCTAGCAGGTGGTCATTTCTTGGTTGTTACAGAATTTTTTACATTGCTTGCCACAGAGTGGATATGACTTGAGTGTGCCATCCAGAGGCTGATGTGCTGCAAGTGAGATCCCAGTGCAGTGGCACAGAGGAGCCAATACTTGTAAGAGGGGGAGACGTGAGGTCACTGGAGGTCCCATCCTTGGAAGGCGTTAATGTGCTTCTTGGGCAACCTTCACTAGCTTCCAAGGGAGAGAATTGTCATAGAAAGAGCAGGGTGTCTGCTGAATCCTGTCTGCAGATGATAACAAAATCAAACCAGACAAAACAGAATAAAACCAAACCAAACCAAGCAATAAAAATGACACGAGGCTTTAAAACAAGATAACAGGGCATTTAACAGTGGCTGTCACCTTCAGAAAATGGTCTCAGATATAAGCTTTCTATCCACTGAGAAACAAGGAGAACTTCTCTCCATATCCCTCAGCCCCACAGAACACCAGCACTATTACAGAAGGTACAACTCATGAGCAGGAAAAACTGCATGCTGGTTTGACACACACGTAAAAGACAAATTTTCTATGATAAATACAACCGTTGCATCTCAAACTTCCCCCTCCAACGCCTGCTGGAAAAATCATGAAAACAAAAAATGATGAACGTTTAGTCGGATATAAAAATGTTACAAAATAATTTGTTTAAATAATTATTTCCTTGAGCATAACTTTTCCTAATTGTTTAAAGGACGAGCTAGCACACAATGAACAGTAAGTTAACAATTCACTCAGTGAATGTAAGCTACATTAGCATTCTAGATTCTCTGTCACCAAATCAGTGTCAGCCCAAGTACTAGTTCTACTGTTGAAATCACTGAAACCAATACAAACTACTGCCAATTTCAAATCAACTTTTTATGTCTTTCCAGAGATATTTGTTGAGACACTGCAGTTAGGACTCTGATTAGAAATCTTTCTTTAAAATTCTCTCTTGAGAGACCAGGAATTTAGCTCAGGTGGCACAGGACCTGCCTGGCAAGCATAAGGTCCTGAGTTTGATGCCAGGTACCCCCCAAAACCAAAATTCTCTCCTGCTAAGCCATACTACTTTGAATAACCTTGGGGACTACCTGAAGAAGTATCTCAAATAGCAAATGTGTGCGGTATGTATGTTAATTTAGCAGATATTTCCAAATTTAAGAGTTTGGCATCTCATACAGCTCTGTTCACACATTGCCTTAATGTACCAACCATTCTTCTCCAGTGCCTAAATAAAATTTCCTTTCCTCTTTCTCATAAATATCCCCAACTTATAATCCATTTTTCTTCATTTTAGGAAACAATGCCAGCCCTCTAATTGTCTAGAATCTTTCCTTTGCTTCCAAAAATGTCCAGCTAAGTTTCTCAAGAGACCAAGTGCCACTTAGCATGCATTCCGTCTCTAGAGTCCGCCTTGTCTCTGAATTACAGTGCTGGGCAGGAAAGCAGCAGCCTTCCTTTGAAATTCTCCAACAGACCTGGGTTAGCAATTAGAGAACATTTAACTGCATTTTCTTTTAATGTTTGTTGATGCTTCAGCCAACCTGCAATTTCTCATGAGGATACTTTGCACCCGATCCAAAACCCATACAAACAACGAGGAAAAGAGAAACTTAAAAAGGAAAAGTATATCAAAAATATCCAGATGCCGTACTGGCTTTCTGTTTTTCTTCAATTTTCAAGTTTCCAAGTGTAGCTTCTCCTTAGTAAACATTTGTGGTGGTTTAAAATGTGTCTCTCAGTCATGTTACAGATTTTGTTAATCACTGAAAATGCCATGAGGTATGAAGAAACTCTGTTGTTATTTTAAAACAATTCCACAAATACAGTATCACAGAGGTTCAATTATATGTTCAGGTGAAAGGTGTCAAATTTGGCAACAAATACACTGGAACTGGTTACATTGGAGTTTTCTTCAATTTAACCATGCTATTCCAGAACATCTTTAAAATTGAGATCATAGTTCAACTATAGAACTTGTTTGAAAGGGAACCAGGAGTTGGCTAAATAAGAGAATTCGTTATTGTTTCCTTCCCTCTATGCAACCCATTCGGTCTGCCACCCTTTCACGATGCCCTCTGCTGAAAGTGTCGTTCCCCGAGGTTCATTCTGTAGTGGACGTGTGTGTGTATGTGTTGTCAGTATATGTAATTTTGCTTTTACAATGTTGGCAGTAAGAAGCAGCCTTCTAATTTTATTCAGCCTGATGATAGGCCCTAGCATTTTAATTATTTTTCATGTTGTGAGTAATTTATTATTCATTGGGTATCTTCCCTGTAAATCTTGCCCTCACTCTGTAAGATTTTTCTTTGGTGTCCAACAAAGGGTTTCATTGCAATAAGAATGAAGGTGTGTCTATGCTCTTACCCAGAGCCCAAACAATGCCAGCCTTCCAGATGAGCCCAGGAGTTTGGGGTGGGGAAACAGAGTCATTAGAGAATATCTTCAGCCCTCGGCCCAGAGAGCAGCAGAGTCACCACTGATGCCTTCCTAACACGGCATCCACAAGAAACCTTCCTGCACAGCCTAATTCAAGGCCGAGAAGACCAGGACTAAAGTTGAATCTCCGCAGTGTCGTGTGCAAGGGATACTCAAAGCAATGGATTGGCTCCTTTTCAGAAACATTTGCCTCCTGGTCGTTCTAATGGTAAGTAGAATTTAAAGGCTTGGGGGAGGAAATGCCGGCTTTGAGGTCTTGTACCTTTTGTTCACTATCAGGTTTTCTGTACGGGACTTGTTCCATTTTTAATCCTCATTCTGCAAAAAGTTGTCTAGGAGTTCAGCCACCACTGATTTCAAAACATCCTGGTGCTTGCAGGAACCAAATAACATAGATCAACCAAGTACAAATGTAATTGAATTAGACACAGTCTCAGAGACACACTTAATTCAGATAAAATGCAAGGTTAATTCTGAAGTTCATATTGGAAATAAAATTCTGGTTCCATCATTTTATACCTAAATCAAGCAGATTGTTGTAAAAATTCCCAGTGCAAATGGGCCTGAAATTTGGAGGCAAGTTGTCAAGCCCATTTTTTAAACAGTTTTCCCTGTGGGTTTCTTTGAAGGCAGACAGATGTCAACTATATCAAAATTACCTTGCTCTAATGATGAAATACTTAAATCATATTATTAAAACACTCCATAGTGCAAGAAAGAAGTGATACATCCCATAAAGCAAGCACAGAATTTGGGGTTTATATTATTTTCTTTCAACCTTGCAGTACACAAGTTCAAATTATGACCCTTGAAAAAAGCAAGGCAGTAGCTTCTATTTCTACATCCTTGGAGGGATTAAGATCTGGTTGATCAATTCAAACTATTGCAAATTCAATTAGAAGAGCTTATTTCAAGAATTAATCATGGCTAGTTTGGATTAGCTTAGACTAAGTGCACTGATGATAAGATGACAGAAGAAATCAGTGAAAATACACTTAAAATTTTTTTAAAGATAAAAAAGATTGTTAGGAGAGTATACACATTTTTTCCAAGCAAATCAAGACAACACACATGTAATTCTCCCCAGAGTATTCCCAGGAGTGCTATGACCTAACATTGGAAAATGATGTCCATGCTGCCCTCAAGCAAGTAGCATGGCACCAACCCATCGGAACAGGAGTTCTAAAGGAGAACAGCAGGGCTGGGGCAGTGAGAGTTATTCTTCTAGAGTTTAAGTAGCTATAAATTCAAGAGCCGTGCGGGAGCTCCACACTGCCAAAGCCTTTTCCAACTTTAAGAGCTAGGTTATTCAACAGGACCAAATTTTTTATATAAACCAAAAAAATACCAAAAAGAAGTGTGATGTCCTGTTATAATAATGCTCTTTTATTTACCAAATTAAAAAGCTCCTAAAGAAAGAGGCAGGAAATATAATTAAAGACTTGATCTCTAATAGAACTGGTAAGATACCAGTATATGCTTCTTGTTATACTTCTCCAGTAGGATGTCTGTGTTTTTCTCAATAAACTTTTTTTTTTCCCTGCAAAGAAAACTGCATGGGTAACTATTTAGAAACAACTTATAAACAGTGAATTTTACCTCCTATTGCTTTCTGCATAGGCATGTTTTATGATAATATTATTTAATTAAAGAGTTAATCTGTCTTCTCCTTGATCTTAAAAGAGCACTTCAGAAGGTTCTCAGGCCCTCCTTCTGGTAGTATTAATCTTAGGGGTTTTGATTACTTAGCTTTTCCCCACTTCCCACTGACACTGAAGAATTTATTTTTGATATTTCATGGTAATTTTGCTAGACACAGGTTCTCAGGCATTTCTAATAGACCCTTTAAGAGGACAATTAATAAGACCGGGAGCTAGGGCAATAATTAGTAACATCCAGGAAGTAAAGAGTCATCACTTCCAGCATATTTCAAGATTGAGACAAATGCCAGAAAAGTTGAAAGTGCTGCTGATGCGGATACTGTAGACAAATAGGTCCGCCTCCTGGTCTTTAATCGCCTGCATTTGAACTCTGTCCCCTTTTCATCAAGGAAATCAAAGCTTCTCGGGGCATCATGGCAGCGTGCACTGATGAGGGTGTGACCACCTCTCGGAGACTCACCAGGACGTTGTGTCAGACACCACTCAACCACAGCGTACTTTAAACAAAGTTTTGACGGTGTTAACCAATAAAAGGTAGCCCAGACTCCAGGTTTCAATAGGGTGTTTCATTGTATCAGAAGTCCGCTGGCAAGTTCTCCTTCCTCCATGTGCTCATTACATACTTCTGCTGTAAGCCGCAGGAGGAAAGGAAGTCCCATGGACACTCAGCCAAGACTCAGCTGTCTCGGGCTTGAGTCACCGCTCCCCTTGGAAGTGGCCCTAGGGGTTTTATTGTACCCCCTGGAGAATTTGTGATGAGACACATCACTCAGTCTCTTCCACTGTAGAAACTGTGATTTTTCTAATTATCACTACTTAATACTCATGTAAAGGAAGCTCCTGTCTGGCTCCTGGGTATCATTTGCATAAATTTGGCTGGAGAATCTAGAAATTTAGATAATGCTATGGGTTGTTTACATTTTACTGGGGAAGAATTACTGGAGACAGAACAGTTATTAGCTTAATGAGACCTATATTTCATTGAGTTAATAAGATCCTTAAAAAGCCACTGATCAGATAAAAAGTTTTGCCCACCAAGGTGACTTATTCATGCTACATAAGAAATATAAACCCTTCAGTTAATTATTTTGATTCTTAGTTTAAAAAAATAATAAGATAAGGGAGGCTGGGCGTGATAGCACACACCTGTAATTCCAGCACTCAGAAGGCTGAGGCAGGAGGACTGCTGGGAGTTCAAGGCCAGCCTGGGCTACATAATGAGTTCAAGGCCAGCCTGGACTGTGCAGGAAAACCCTGTCTCAAAAAAAAAAAGTCAAGGATTAAGCATATAGATATTATCACTGTAAACTGGAAACAGTCACTGCAATTTAAAAACGTATTCAGAAGTAACCTAGCCTGTTTTCAATTTAGTTCTCACACAAAACAATATAATTCTGAAAAATAGCAAAGATATTTGGCTTTGTTTATTTCAACAGGCAGATTTCTAGAAATATAACGATACAAGGCACATTATCTGATTTGATTTTTATTTCTAGTAAATATAATAGATGTTATATATTAGATAAAGTGATAATGATTGGTGTAGTAGCACTTATTACAGAAACTATGTAATCACAGGTGGACGCTAATGACATGGAAACTAACGTTACCTCTGTTACTTTTACATACACATATGCAGCCAAGCAATTTACATATATATTTAATATATTGAATAAGTATAAAATATGCAATATGTATTAATATATAAATGTATGTCATGTATTAAGGCAAATAGACAAAGCTATATTTATATTTGGAATTTTTGTGTAAATATGTTTAATACATTTTATGATATATATTATATAAGTATGAAGTACAGATATAAAAGTATACATATTTTAAGTGAAATAGACAAATACATATTTTTGGCTTCAAAATGCTATAAAGCCCATGGCAGAAATTTCATGTAACAAGATTTATATCCCAAGAGGTGGCTAACATTCTGACTATACTACAAATTATAACTTTGTAGTTTGTTCCATTATATGAACCCGCAGCACTGCAAGATAAAATCCTACCCTAGAAATAGCTCACGGCCTTGGGACAGCTTTTTAAAGATGCTCCTCTGTTTTAGAAGAATTCTGATCCCTCGAAGCCTGGCTTGGCGTACCCTTGCTGGCACCTCCGGACCAGGGGGGCTTCTCACTGGGCAGGGGAGCCATGTTGACCGAGGCACAGCGCCACTTCCTGTTTCCCAAGTGGGTCCACAGTGGAATTCCCCACTCAGTCACCAGAGCAGCTTTGATGACAGGGTGTGTGAGGAGAGAGACCGGAGAAGGCCTCCCATATTACCTGCATGGGAAACATTTGCCCTTCCTTTCTACACAGAAAATTACATGGCTTGCAAACTAAAATGCCATTACTTGATACACCTTCAATTACAAACAAAAGTGTTATAATTAGGCTTGAACTTGGCATCCCTATTGGATCCCTAGGAAGATGCCAACTATTTTACTCAATAATTTTTATGAGCATTATTCAAGAGGTAACTGCTTATTAATAAGTTGGTCCTAGGTATGCAAATGAGTTCAAAACTGACTTCAAAAAGATAAGTCACAGAGATAAAGCTTCCATATACACTCAGTATATAAGGAATTCATGCTCAGTAGCTACCAAATACAGTCAGGTTGTAAAGTATCCATGTGTCTGCTAATACTGCATTGAGCTCAGGTAACAACTGAGGTTCCACCTATTGTATATGAAGCCATTCTATTCTCTCTAGCAGCATTAGAAAAGAAAACAAAGCTAGAAAATTTTCTTCAATTTGCTGAGTTGCATATGCATATTCTATTATTCCTTTTGAAATATAACTATCATAATAACTCAGGACTTGTCTTACATACAGAAAACTTGGTTTGTCCCATTTTTTTAACCTATCAAATTTTTCTATTAATAAAGGAGTTTAGTTTCTAACTTACATTTCTTACCAAGTCATTCACCGTATTTTCCACCCATGGTTATGCATAACATTAATGTGGTTAATGCTCTTCAAAATGAACATGAGTACTTTGAACTGAGAAAAACAGGAGTTGGTTCTCTGGAGTAAAGTCTGTCATATTATCCATCTACTACCGTAAACTAAGAAAACAGTGTCAACAAAATCCCTGCAAGATATACAGAAGTATTTTCATTTAACATTTTTTTTTCAAATGTTCAGGAGAGACATGGGTCAGACAATCCATCATTGAGACAGTCCAGATCTGAAACCTTTCAAAAGTACCAGAATCAACTCCCTTCCCACTTTGGGCCCACAATTTCTTTTACACTGTCTCATACATTCTGGTATATTTTTTGTCCTTTATCTGCTTCTCCATCTTCTAACACATAGCTCTACCTAGACATGAAGTAAGCAAATGTGCATGTTTATTTTCTTATTTTCTTTTCACATTGTCTTTCTCACATAGCCTGCAAAGGTTCTGTTCAGATTTATTCTATGCAGTTTATTCTAAGGACTCCCACAGAAAAAGAAATGACAAAATACCCTCTCATCGAGGAGGTTCTCAGAATTACACTGCCTTTAGGTTAATGCATATCTGCCCAGATCATTTTCTTCATCGACAGCAGGTACCTCCAAATCCCTTTCTGGTTTCTGCACTGGCGATGACTATTCAGCCAACTCCACTCTGCATGGGTGCCTTCCAGGCAGGCTCTCAGGACAATCGATATCGGAGTGCAAGGTCAGACCCATTTGTGCTCTAAACAGGTGACATTCACAGGCAAATGGTGTCTCCAGGAGTTGTCCAGGTAGCTTTATAGTTCGGGATTTTTGAAATTGTGCTACTTCATATATTTTGGGAGCGCAATGTCATTTCATGTTTCCTGCAAAAGATCAATTCACAGATGATTCCTGGAAAGTGAGGAGCCCACAGACAGTGCTCAGGACCTCTTTCCAAGCCTCCAGTGTAAAACCAGCTGGTTCCTTCAAGGAGACCTGCATTTACAATAACAGGACTTGGGGGGCTTGGCTACGTTGCCCTCACCAGGAAAGCCAGCTAAGCAGGAAACAGGGAGCAGGAAGTGTACCGCAGAGGCCTCCACCAGGCATAGCACAAGTCCCGTTAAGTGACAACCCTTCCCTGGGTCCAGTACTGCACCTTCCCTGGCCTAGAAAGGAAACATCGGAGCCAGTGAAAGGATAGAAGGAGGTTGTTACAGTCAAGGATTCTTAGAGCTACTTTGTCTAGTTCTTATATGTCGGCTGAATTGGCTCTGTAGTCAGGACAAGAGCCAGGTCAAAAGAATTTAAAATACTTTTTCATCTCTTTGAAGTAAAGACAAGTATGGTTTGTGTGGCTAATTTCAAGTCTTTAAAAATGATCGATTAGTGGTTTTATATGACAGGGAATACTACAAATGCACACTCTAAAGCAGGAGAAAACTCCACTGCGCTTCCTATCGCAGATGCACCAACCATTGGAGAATCAAGCCCTCCCTTCCACACTGTAGTTCTATTTGGATCAGAGCTTGAAGAATCGGGCTGGGGGATGTGTCCCAAGTCACACTGCTGGTAAAGGACAGAACCCAGACCCACACTTGTCTCGTCTGCCTTCACGTCTAAGCAAGTTGTCTCTTAACCATATTGCTTTACAAGGATATTGCTTTTAATGGAGCCAAGTGGTACTTTAAGCCTAAGAATTTGTGTTTAAATGCACATCAATTTAAGAAACTTGCATCTGCTTAACTACTATTCCAATGATTGTCTTGAACTGAGGAACATATTTCAGTGAAATGCTGGAGCATTCAAAGAGTGTCAATGCACAGAGTTTTAAAGCCACCAATTTTCAGATCCTCAGCTTAGTGGTAGATGAGAAATAGATGATATTTGATAGATGGATAGATAGACAGACAGACAGAATGATAGGCATTCTTCTTTAAATCAACCTACCTGAGCATCCAGTTAAACCAAACAGACTCTCCTCTCCTAAATCCTTCTTTTAAAAAAATCCTACTCACACCCATGGCAATATTGCTAAATAGCACTGCAACTGATTGTAAAACTATCTGGCTCACCAAAATAAAAGATAATTCAAAATACACTATCAGTATTAAAAGAAAGAGAACTGACTCTTAAACTCTGAAATCTTTTTGCCACTTATATTTGTTTTCAATTATTTGTTTTCCACGAAATTAAAAGAAGACATACTAATCACTGATAAGCCCTTTAAAATTCATTTAAAGGCTAAATTACTTTGCAGATTTGGGTCACTTAATTCAGAATAAGAAAAACTTAAGGACACCAATTTTAAAAATCTTCCAATATCATCTATAAATATAAACATCCTTTAAGGACTATAGTCCTCATGGAAATAAGCCAAACAAAAACAGAATTGGTGCTGAGACTTTAAATTCTGAGTGGTATTTATTCACAAATTATTGTTTTAAAATTCCATCTCTTTACATTTTCAATCCATTTCTACTTTCTATATTTAAATACAATGCATCAAAATTTCCATAATTTCTGTAGTGTTCACTATGAACATTATTTGCTGCTTTGTGTAATTGTAAAGCTAACCCAATCCATTGGTTCATTGATGGAACTCGAATACAGGAATGCAAGGAGAATGAAAGTGAAATAAATTCCAACTTGTAAAGAACTTCATTTTGTACTTTTTTTCTGATAAATGACACTAGGCAACAAATGACAATGGCATTTAGATTGTATCTGCTACATTTAAAAGTGATTAGACAATTGTATTTTAATATATCAGCCAACACTTGCATTAGTTTTAAATGTCATCCTTTGCAAACTTTCGATCTCATGACAAATTTTAGCTGTCAATGCAGAAAGATTTGAGGAAGCATGCCTTTTTTTTTCAGATTTTTTTAACATTTCATTTTTAACATTAGGAGTATTAATAGAAACATCAGTATCTTCTCAGAGCACAGAGCATAATTATAGGCGGCTAAAATTCAAACAAATACAGAAAAGTTTGGCTAAGAATTATCAGTAGAGTAGTGACTTGGGCCCCTTCTCTGCTGCTATTTTAATACTCCATCAGTGGCTCCCGATATAACTTCGCAGGCTTGCTGTGAGCAGGCAGAAACCGGGGAGGGAATGTGTTCCTCTACAGAGTAAAAATTACCTGCCCCATCTCCAACGCAGTTATGATCAGAAGCCTGCTAGGACTCACCATCACTTCTTGTTTCAAGTTCAAATGACACTCATGGGTGGATTACATCTCTGAGGTCACCCGGCTCTGCTTGTGCTCACCAACGTGGAGGGAGGGACAACGTAATGACACTACTGTGCCCTTCAGGCCTGAGACAAGGTCCACAAGGGGGAAAGGAAAAACTGGAGAGAACATCAAAGAGGAGAGAGGAAGAAGGAGCAGAGGAGGAAAAGAGAGACAAGTGTGAACGCGAGGGCGAGGGCAGGGAGATTCATATTAATAAAGCTCACCAGGTTGGCACTCACCAAGGTCAGCTTCGGGGGCCGCTGTAGGACATGCTACCAGCATACTGGTGCTCAGTCACTCTGTGTCCCACTGAGCAGCATGAAACACCAGCCCCAAGCGAGGTACAAGGCGGCTACCAACGCATATGTCTGTAGGAATTAATTGACATGGAACTCTTTACCACAGTAATCACTGAGAGCAAAAAAACAAAGCACAAAATCGCTTGTATTTCTCTCTTAATAACTCATTTCCTGATTTCTGCAGTTTGAACTGTGTGATTTGCACAAGTTAGCACTGACCTTCTCAGCTCCCATTTTTCTGACCTTCCCATAATACACCAAGCACTCGCTATTCCTCCTTCACCTAACTCAACACTCACTTATTCTGCCTCCTTTCTGAATACTTCTTGCTACTTTCCTAGCTAATCTCTTTCCATTCCCAAATTCTGTTTCTTTACCAGCCCTCCTCCTCACCCCTGCACTAAGAATCTGCTCTCACCCACACTGCATCCTATGAGCACGATCTTAGCCTGGCCACCCTCTCTGTATGTAGACTTCTCCCTTCTGTTCCTTTCACAAAAGTAAGTACTCCCACGAGATTCTGTTCTGTGCTGGCTTCCCTTATCTGCTCGGTCCTGTTTCACTGAGTGCCCTCAGTTTCTTCAACTTCAAATAATACTGTTTTGGAAAAACGCACTTTTTCCGATTTTCTATCCTAGATATTAGACAGATGCTGAAGGTAAATAGAACAGATGTAAGCCATCAATGTCCCTCCATCATGGTCTCCAGCTGCATTTCCTTTCTGTTAACAGTACTCCCTGTACCCCGAATGATGAGCTAGATCCCTGCAATCATCGGCTCTCCTTCCCCAAACCCCTCAGTCCAGGAACCCTCTCAGCACCCCTCTGGTGACTTCTCTGCCCTGCTCCACGGCCCCTCCTACACCCAGGTTCATGTGCTGGCTATATCTTACCTAAGCAAGTGCTAATTCTTTGATGTCTCCACTTCAAGTGCTTTCTCTTGTCATCCTCCCTTCATATAAATGACATGTTTTACAGACCATGATTTCGTCACTTCGTTTTCTATCCAAAGAAGTCCAAACAGCCTAGCCTGGGGTGGAAAGCGCTTCCAGTCTAGCCCTACACTGACTGTCTGACCTCGTCTCTCACGGTGCCTCTCCCCCGGGCCGCTAATTGCACCAGATCTGCAGCACCCTCCGAAATTTTGTGCCCTTACACCTGTGTTCTTGTTTCACGCCAGCTGAAAAGTCTCCATCAACTCCTCTTATTAAATCAGCTGCACCCACAGAACCTTTTGAAGTCCCAGCTCTCCTCAGAGGCCTGGCTGAGCTCCACCCTGACAAGCAGAGTTCCCTGCGCTTCCCCGCCCCCCGCCCACGTGTGTCTCTGTTGAAGCAGGTGTCCTAACTGCCTTGCTGCAGAAAGTCACGTTTGTCTTCTCTGAAGCTTTAAAAGCCTCCACAAAGAGTGTAATGATGATGTACTGCACACATATACTAATACAAATAAAAATTAAAGTAAGTATTAAAAATGTAAAAGTTTTTTGAGGGTCGAAAGCCTACCTATTCATTTTCTATTATTCATGTCAATTTTACATTTTTAACTAAATGCATATTTAAGTTCATAAAAGAATATTGCCAATGCTGCTGTGATGCTGGTTTTGTAGATTATGTGAATGTATGCTAACACTGTGCCTTTTCTAACAGGTGGTGCTGGAAGTAAACAGTGAATTTATCGTTGAGGTAATGTATAATAAAACTATTTTCGCTACTTAAAATTAAAAGAGAACAGCATGCATTAAACATTAGAATATTTGAAAACATAATCATCCAGGTAAAAGTTAAGGGGAAGGATATAAATCAAGCTGAAATAGCAATAGTAAAACCCCTCCTTCTCAAATTTTTATACTTTAAGATCAGGGCTTGGGCAAGTCAGTATCTCTGTAACTCTCACTCATAAAACTAGGATAGTAGCTTATTTAAATGTTTCCCAGTCTATGCAGTCTGGTGGTGTACATCTGTCATCACAATACTTGAGAGGCTGAGACAGGAGAATCACAGTGGATCTGAGGCCAGTCTGGGGCACATGGTGAGCTCAGGTTACCTGAACTACATGAAAGACCCTGTCTCAAAACATAAAAAAGAGTTTTCCAACTTCTATCAAAATAAAAGTAGAAAAGAAACACTTTAAGGAAGGAATTTTTTTAGACATATCTATAAGAAACTAGTCTATGAGTAAAGGAAAGATACAAAACTTAAAAACACATAATTTCAATTAAATAAACCAACAGGAAATCTGCTGGCTTTTAGAGAAGGACACAGGAAATAAGACTGATGTCCTTTATGGTGCTTAATTTTATAATGGCAGTGAAATTTTTATTTTGATCAACTCAAGTCATTGGAGAAAACAAAATTACATTTCTAATTTCTTATGGCAAAATAGGAAACATATAATACATTCTGGGAAGTTGTATTAAAATGAAAGGCATAAAGGCATTGCTTCGTGAAGTAAGCTTCACGCACATGGAACTTCCCTACCCGAAAGTAGCAATTAAATAAAACCTTACCTTGAGTAAACATATAATCATGTGTATCTCTACAAAGATATTAGTACTTTCAAAAATAAATATATAATGTTTGCACGTATATACACATATGTTTATGTACGTAGTAGCATTTTGAAAATCTTTAGTAATATAAAATTGTTTAGTATCCACAACCAACAACAGAAGGCCACAAAGGGATATACTTAGCAACGAGAGACATAAATATGCCGCATCAAGAAGCCAGAGTGGTATATGCCTGTAATTTCAGCGCTTGAGAGGCTGAGGCAGGAGGAATTTTGAGGTCAGCCTGGGTTACAAAGTAAGTTCAAGGCCAGCCTGAACTGCACAGTGGAATCCTGTCTCAAAAAACAAAAATAGAAGAAGAAGCCATAGAAATGTCCATAGGACATACGAGCAGTGCCACATCACAATAGTCTTCTAATTTTGCAATAATACGTTTGGTTTCCTACCCACAGTGGTGCCCTTATCATCAGAAGAGAAAACTTCCTTCCCTAAGCACAACTTAGATTTAGGGTGAGACATTCTCACACAGAGGAGTAGCAACCTTTAGCTCCATCGACAGTAAATCCTGTCCAAGCACAGGAAAGGTGAGGTGAACCAGGCTTCTGCATGGAGTAAAGAATAGCTACCATGTACCATGAATTATTACACATTGCACACACCGCACAGAGCTAGTGGAATCCATCTGATTAGAGCTTTAGAGGTGATTCCAGTACAGTAGCAATCAGCACTGGGCAAGCTGTGTTTACTCAGGATTGAGAATTAATAAAAAGTTCCTCTGTTCCTCAAATTCAGCACCATTGTTTCTTCTGGGTGCACCTCGCAATGTTAAATCAGTATCTGTAGTAAGTGCAAGTTTTCTAACACTGTAAGAATGTGCAGTATCCTTGCTTAAGGTGAAAGAATTAGACATTGAAAACGGCACTACAACATGGCAAACCGTCAGAAGACAGAAGAGGGAATGGATCAAGTTTGCCGCGGCCTGTCGGGAAGGAGAGGACAACTCAAAGAGAAATCCAATCGCCAGGGTAAGGGGCAAAGCCCAAACAGCACAGAGGGTCCTGCACTGATAACAAATGCGTGGCCAGCAGGAAAACTGACATACTGCAAGGATGGGAAGTCCCCGCTGTCCCATATGGGTTTTGGAAAGTAGTCACTTGCTGGTAGCTGACACAGAGCAATGATGCTTGCTAACAGCATCCTTAGCAAGTAATCCTAGGAAGCAACTTGACTTGAGTGTGCCAGTGGGCTTTGGCTATTTGTTTGCAGTCTGCTCATCACTGCATGTATATGCCATAGGAAACTGATGGCAATCAGAAGACTAACTCTTCAAATAGTCATGGGTTTACCACCGTACTTGATTAACTCAAGAAAGTAGGGGTGGTGTTGAAAGTTGGCACTAGTCTCTAAATTCACAGTTAGGAGGGTATGGAAAGACCTTCACAACTCCTGGATGCCAATGAGGAAGGAAAGTTATGATGAGACTGTGTGATGAATTGATCTGTGAAATTTGCGATCCACGTAGCAGTTTAACTTTCTGTTTCTGAGCATCTTGGCCTGGACCACTGTAAAAACCAACAACAGGAAGATCTGCCCTGATCCCCTCCTTACACACTGACAGCAAAAGCAGAGTAAGCCTCAGCAGGGAGGGTACAGATAGAACCTCACCTCGAGCAAAGAACCTTGTGTTTTCTCAGAACTTCTCAAAGTGGAAAGATGCTTTTAAAGTATGATTTTCACTTAGTGTATAGTTAGACTTTTATGGGCATATCCCTTTTTTTATTTGCACTCTGGAGAATTTTCTTCTATACGTAAAAAAGACTCTTTAGACAAGACCTGAGCTAACTGAAATTGTATTTTCAGCTGACTTTAATTCTTGGTAGATGCTGGGGTGACAAGTCCTAATATTTTTACCAGGTGCATTCATCTTTAATATGTGAATGAGCAATAGATACAAAGTCATCAAAACGAAACCCATGTGGCAGCATATTGGTTATGAAATCTATCAGACAGAAACTAAGCATGGTGACCCATGCCTAGGCCAGCACTCTAAGGGTAGAGGCAGGAGGACTGCAAATTCAGGGTCTACCTGAGCAATTTAACAACTTTACAAGGCCTTTAAATCAAAATATGAGCAAATAAATAGGCTGAGAAGGTAGCTCAGTGTGAAGACCTTGGTTTTTAACTCGTAGTGCTGCAATATTCCACATATTATAACTAACACATAGTGATATTATGTATTATATATCATGTATTTGGCAGAATAGTGATGCATTAGAAATTTTTTCCATCTCTAAACACTATTTCCCTTCTAATTTTCTTAATATAGTTATCAGTTCGACTGAGTCTCAAACTCAAGTTTAAGCAGGGTATTTATTACCATAACACAAATTTTAAAAAAGGATTAAAGGCTCTGATTTCTTTTGTCAGACTATATGCAAACAAAGAGAACTGAGCCATGTACTGTTAATAACAGCCAATCTGGGGCCACCATATGTGTGCGAGTTTGCACATACGCCTTGGACGAGGACCATATTAGGTGACCTCATGCTGCCCATGTAAAGGCTGTGTACATGTGACAGTGCTGTCCTGCCACAAACCTGGAGCAGGTCACTGTTGCAGGGTGTCACAGGACTAAGCCAGGGTGCTATATTTCAAACCAAAGCCTCTCTATCTGTGATTTCCTTTCTTTCTGTGATTTCTCTTTTTTGTGATTCCAATTGCCTTTTTATTCCAGTTCATGATCAGCTCTATGCAAGATCAGATCCTAACCATTTTTCTTGCAGATTCGCTCAGACTGCGAAGCGAGCCAGAAAATCACCTACCGCATCTCCGGGCCGGGGATCGATCGGCCACCCTACGGCGTGTTCACCATTAATTCACGGACTGGGGAAATCAACATCACCTCGGTGGTGGACAGAGAGACAACTCCGCTCTTTCTGGTAGGTCACAGCAGTGTGTTTGGATTTATTCATCCTGTTTTTCTTCTCTTTAAAAAAAAAAAGATTTCAGGACTGTGGCTTCCTTTTGATAAAACCCAGAAAACTGGAACAAATAGAAAGGAGGAGAAAAGGGTAAAAATATGTTTACTGTTTGGGATTCTCCTGTGTGTTACAGCTTCAGGTGACCAAATGCCTTGATCACGTTAAATTACTGCATGATAATCCAGTGCAAATTCAAGAGAAAATCACTTTTTCACTTTGTTCTTCCTGTACTTTCAAACCTAATTTCCTTTGTTGGAGAAAGGCAAGACTTTTTCTGACTTTCCACAGATCTACTGCCGTGCGCTGAACTCACGGGGGGAAGATCTAGAGAGTCCTCTAGAGCTCAGGGTCAAAGTCATGGACATAAATGATAATCCCCCTGTCTTCACCCAGAGTGTCTACACTGCCGCCATCGAGGAGAACAGCGAAGCCAGTAAGTAGGAAGACACCCTTCTCTGCGTCCACTACCTCCACTTCCTCTGGGCAAAGGTTTTAGAAGAATGTAATACTGGTCATTTAAAGATCAGGGGGGAAAAGCAAAGTAGCACTTTGAAAGAGTCTCACAAATTTTAACTATTTACTCAGATAGGATAGGAATATGTCTAAGATGCTAAATGTCCTCTGATTTGTAGATTTTTATGCTTGCAATTTGGCAGGTGCTTGGCATCAGAGATCACAGGATTAGTCATTAATTTAATACAAACGAGTAAGCAGCAGAAGAAACCATGAATGTTTGAAAAGGTTCTGTTCTTGTGTATTCCTCAAAATCTGTGGCTGAACCCCGCTGGGTACAGATGCATCACACACCACAGCGACCAACAAGCTACAGTCTATGCAGAAAGTAACACCCTGAGCCCCGAGCTCTGGTGTATTTGTTTCTTTTCATCCTGATTCATTTCATTTCCAAGTCTAATTCCTCCTGCTTTTTCCCTTTATAATAGTTCTCTTGCAATTCCTTTTTCTTTCTTCTTTCTTTCTCTCTCTCTCTCTCTCTTTCTGTGTGTCTCTCTGTCTCTCTGTCTCTCTCTGTGTGTCTCTCTGTCTCTCTCTCTCTCTCTGTCTCTCTCTCTCTTTTTTCTTTCTCTATCTTTCTTTCTTTTTGACACAGGGTCTCATTGTGCAGCCCAGGTTGGCCTCACAAGGATCCTCCTGCCTCAACCTCCCAAGTGCTGGGATTGCAAATGATCACTACCACACCTAGCTGAACTCTTTCCCTCTTACTTTTCTGTTTTTCTGATGTCACTCTTCCCTTTCTTTTCTCCATGCCATCTGCCTCTTTTCCCTCCAGTCTTCTAATATTCCCTCTCCTTTCAAATCTATGCCTGCCAACATACCTCTACGTACATCGTCAAGAGAAATATAGGAACAGTAAACTTTAGAAGGAAGGCCAAGGGACGGCCATGTAACATGAGGGCGCACGGAGAGGAGACTGCAGCCTCCTTTGTCACACTGCTGCTGCTGCTGTGCCTCACTCAGCACAATCGTGATGAAGGAAGAGAAGATGCCACCCATCAAGTTCAGATCCTCTGATTGGTGAATCTGAATGCTTTCTCAAAGGAGAACAGTTTCTGAAGAAAGGGCTGCAGAGCACCTCAGCAGAGACTGTGAAGCCTTCAATCCTGGATCTTTCTATTCAAGGAAGCTCTGAGTTTTTCATTTTGAGGCCAGGAAAGAAAAGAACATCTAGAACCCACTGACTCCGGAAAACTCTGTCGGGTAGACTGATGGCTTCTGGATTGGCCGGGATACCTGGTTGTGTCGCTATAAGTAATTAAGAACTGCTTAGATTCCTATGATCAAATCTTCTCTTCAATAATTACACATTTTGAATGCTTAACAAAGTGCTACTACCTTATAGTGCAACCATAATAATTATCTCTTTCTAGATGACAGCTAAAAGTATAGGAGCTCGATAAATAGTTGCAACGTTGTCTTTAACTGAACTACAATCTTGCTTAATTAAGCATTTTAAAGTAACTTCACAAAACCATGACAAAAAGAAAGCTGATACCATCACTTTTTTTCCTTTAAGTAGGCTACTGGACTTTTATTATATATTAAAGACCACTATATTTTGCTACTAGTTTTCCATTTAATCATTTAATGAGTGCAAATATTTTATAAATACAAAGAGATTCATAGAAGCAACTCACTTTGTTTTGATAATCACTGGTATATGTGAGAATTGCACTAGCATACTTGCATAGAAAATATGAACGAAATGATTCAAGAAAAAGTCAACTACTCTTTCTTTTTATGCCTAGAGATTTGATGCATTAATCCTAACCATGCCAATCATTCCCCACCCTGTCTTCATCTCTAGATGCCCTGGTGGTAAAGCTCAGTGCCACTGATGCAGATGAAGACAATCATCTGAATTCTAAAATTGCCTACAAGATCCTCTCTCAGGAGCCTGCAGGTGTGCCAATGTTCATGGTGAACAGGTACACCGGAGAAGTCCGCACGATGTCCAACTTCCTTGACAGAGAGGTAAAGCTTTCTGTGAATGAATGAAATATCTCATTGCTTCTCTGGTGTGAGAAACTGAAAGTGTAAATAAGAACCAAAACATACAATACTGTGAAATAGGAAGCAACTGTTCAAAAGGAAAGGGAGATGATGGGAAGGATGGGAAAAGAAAGAAATGAGAGAAAAAAATGATAAAATGGAAACAAATCTTTGTAAATAAAGATGGAAGAGGGGGTGAAGGAAGGGGAGGAGAATGGGGAAGAAAAAGAGAAACTAAGATATATTACATACAGGTACAAGTTCCCTATGATGAATGTGATAATTATGTATATCTAAATAGTACCAATAAAAAAATCAGTGTTGAAAACAAAGAAGCAGTGAGCCATGTGTGCTTTATTCCAATGTGAAGGAGAAAAGAAAAACTGTTCCACTCATTTTTAATGAAAATTAAAGATCAATTATGTAGATTTTATTTGACATGCATATAAAAGTAAAGACAAGTAGTGGCCTTAGTAGCGGGGTTCTGTTTAAGACAAAACCTAAGTCCTACAACTCTTTTCCATTCCAATGAAGCAACACAGTATGTACAACCTGCTCGTGAGGGGTTCAGACCGCGACGGAGCTGCCGACGGGCTGTCCTCCGAGTGCGACTGCAGAATCAAGGTCTTAGATGTCAACGATAATTTCCCTGTCTTAGAAAAAACTTCAGTAAGTTGTTACCCTTGTGATTCTCTTTTGTAAGTGTAGCTACTTGGGTTGCTTCCTGATAGTTTGTGAGCCTGGAGGGTGAATGGCTTAGCTTTGTTGTATAAACCTGGGAAATAAATATATGTCACCATTCCAAGGAAAGTTCTCTATGAAAGCAAGAGCTATCGACGCCATAAAATTTACTCACAGAAATGTGGGAATTTGTTAGCATAACTCTAGGAATAATATGACAATAGAAATATATTTGTATTTGCTTCATGACTGACTAAATTAATTCTACCAGAATTCCAAATAGTATCAAGTTTCATTTTTGTCTTTGTGCATAAAGAAATATAAAGTCCAACATAAAAGGGCCAAGTCTGGACTGCCACTTATTTTGATAACCATATATCTTGTTGATCATTCCTTTTCATGCTGTCTATGGCTGCTGTTTAGTGCAAAAGCAGAGACAAGAAGCCGTAACACTGATGTTCTTACCCATGAAGCCTAATGTATTAACTAGCCGGCCCTTTACTGAAAAAAGTGTGATTCCTTACCGAAAAGAGTGAGACAAATTAAAAATAATCAGGAAAAAGTGAAACAAAAATGGCAGTTTAAGCTACATTTTTCATGCTATATATGAAAATTAGTTTTAAAGTCATTTAATTCTTGTATTTCTGATTAGAAGTATGCCATTAATAATGGGATAAAAAATCATTTAGCTTGTTCCCATTTGATAACTATGTGTTGATGCCTTTATTCTTTTGAAAATTCAGATTATGAAACTGACCTATTTTATTGCAGTACTCAGCAAGTATCAAAGAGAACTGTTTGAGTTCAGAACTGTTACGATTACAAGCAATTGATCTTGATGAAGAGGGTACTGATAATTGGTTGGCAAAATACACAATCCTCTCTGGAAATGATGGAAACTGGTTTGATATTGAAACAGACTCACAAACGAATGAAGGCATTTTGAAGGTCATAAAGGTACAATACTTTTGAACACTTTCTTTGTATTTCATGGTAACTACTGTACATTTTGTAATAATTTTTTCCAAAGAAGCTTTAAATGACACATAGAAATATATTCTGCCTCACTGCTTATTAACAAGTAGTTCTAAGTAGGCTGCTGTGTCAATCTGAGCCTTTCGGCCCAGGAATATAATATTTACTATAAAACAAAACAAAACAAAAAATAAAAGGCTATTTTGTTCTCCTGGTGCCCAATATCTAGTTGAGAAGATAAAGCAAGCACCTCAAATTACATAATGCAAGAGAGTGAACAACATCATAAATAGTGATCAGGTGCTTTATTAACAGACTGTGATTTCTAAATGGGTAAAATATAAAATAATGAATGAGATCAAACAAGGCGAGATCTTTCTATTCACCTGAAAAGTTCTTCTGCAGGAATGTGGCTTAGGGAGTGTTTTATATCTGAGGTTGCTAATATAGAGAAAACACAAGCACATTCAGGGCCTGGTGGGTATTCACACAGGACAAAATGAGATGTCCAGTTAGAGCTGTTATTCTGAGAACTCTGAATGCTAAACTGTAGGATTTGACTTTGCACTGTACATTAATTTTGCTTAAACCACTCTATTATTTTACTTCACAGACAATAAAATCTAAGAACTTACACATTTAAAATCACAATCCAGTAAGATTCAAATTAGTACTCATATAATGAGGAAAGCCAAATGTCATGATGCAGATCTGCAATCTGCATCAGCACTGGGGAGGCTGAGACAGGAGGATCACCAAGACTTCAAGGCCAGCCTGGCTTCCACAGTCAGTTCAAGGGCGGCCTGAACTACATAGTGAGACCCAGCCTCAAAACACCAAAAAAGTTTTCCAACACTGAATTATATACCAAGAAATGCTTTGGGATATTGTCTTAAACAGAAATAACATTTTGCACTCAACTCTGGAAGATTAAAATTATGAAAATAATTATTATACTAATCAAATCCCAAGGTACTAAGAATCTAATCAGAGACAATAGCAATAATAAAGGAAGCAACTGAACCAATATGAAACCCCTGCCAAATAAAAATAGATAGGAATAAAAGAACAAGAGGTCATTTACCACATCAGTTTTTGAATAGTTCCAAAAATCAGAATTTTGTTAAACCTGGCATTGTGATTAAAAATATAAATCAGGGTAAGCAATTCTTAATGTCTCTTATCATCTTAATCACTGACTTTGCATGGTATCTATTTTTTTAATCTTTTTCATTGGTACATTTTAGATGTACATAAAGATAACATTCATCTTAGAGAGTTCTTTTTCCCCATTCCCCATCTTCCCTTCAACCCCTCTTCCCCTCCTTGTTTACAAAACCTTTGCTTCCATTTTTCTCTTCTATTCTTTTTTCCCCCTTGTGCCTTCTTTCCCTCCTTCCTCCCCGCTCCCTTGTTCCCTTTATCATCTGAACATTTTCTTCCCATTTTCCAGTATCTATATATCTTTTGTCTTTATTTATACTTTCAGTTTCTCACAGCAGAGAAACAATGCAATACTTAAACATGTTTGTCCAATTTATTTCATTTAAGAGTATGGTCTCAGGGTATATTCATTCAGCTAGAAATGAGTCAGTTTTATTCTTCTTTATAACAAAGCAGTACTTCATTGTATTAAAAAAATCGATGTTAGCTGGGCATGGTGGCACATGTCTGTAATCCCAGCACTCAAGAGACTGAGGCAGGAGGATCACCATGAGTTTAAGGCCAGTCTGGGATATTTGAGCAAGTTCAAGGCCAGTCTGCACTACATAGTGAGATCCTGAAAAGAAGAAGAAGAAGAAGAAGAAGAAGAAGAAGAAGAAGAAGAAGAAGAAGAAGAAGAAGAAGAAGAAGAAGAAGAAGAAGAAGAAGGAGAAAGAAAGAGAGAAGAGAAAAACACATCTTTATCCATTCATCAGTTGATGGGCATTTGGGCTATTTCCAGGAGTTAGCTACTACAAACTATAAACACAGGTATCACTGTGGTATGATGCTTTTAATTCTTTTGGAAAGATACACAGAAGGAAAATAGCTGGGTCATATGGGACCTCTACGCCTAGTTTGAGGAATCTTCCTGCTGAATTCCAGAATGGTCGCATCAGTCTGCAATACCACCAACAATGGAGAAGGGTTCCTTTTTCCCCACAACCACTCCAGCATGTCTTATTAGTTGATTTCTTGAAAATAATCATTCTTTCTAGAGTGAAATGTAATCTCAGTGTTGTTTTAATTTGCATCTCTTGAATGACCAGAATGCTGAACGTTTTTTCGTATATTTATCTGTCATTTTTTCTTCTTAATCTGAGAAGTATCTATTCATTTTAGGTGTCCATTTTTGGAATGGGCCTTTAAATTTGGGGATATGATTTTCTTGAGTTCTTTATGTATTTTAGACATGAGTCCCTCATCTGAGGAACAGCTGGCAAAAATTTTTCCCACCCTGTGGGTTGTCTCTTCGCCATTGGTGATTTCATTTGGTGTACAAAAGCTTTTTAATAAGATGAGATCCCAGTTGTTGATTCTTTGTGACAATTCCTGTATGGCCAGGGTTTGTTCATAAAGTCTTTTCCTACATTAAATGTCTTTAAGAGTTCTACCGATTACTATCTTCCAGCAGATTTAGTGTCTGTGTTGTAATATTTAGATCTTTGATCTATTTCAATTTTAGTTTAGTACATGAAAGATATGGATCTAGTTCTAATCTTCAGCATGTAGAAAGCCAGTTTTTCCAGCAAAAAGAGGCTATCTTCCTTCTAGTGAGGCTGTTTGGCTCCTTTGTCAAAGATAATATTGCTGAGTGTGTCTGCAGTTGTTTCTGCATCTTCTAATCTGTTCCATTGATCCATTTTTGCCAGTATCATGGTGTTTTTACCACAGTAGCTTTGTATGTGGGGGGAGGAGTGTTGTTTTTGTTTTTTATTTTTGGGGGTTTTGGTACCAGAAATCTAACTCAGGACCTTGCAGTGGAGCTATGTCCCCGGCCCTAGTGGCTTTGTAGTATAATTTTAAATCAGGGATTGTGATGTCCCTGTTTTGCCTTTGTTGCCCAGAATTGCTCTTGCTATTCTAGGTTTCTTTTGGTTCCAGATGAATTTTAGGAATGTTTTCTCTAATTCTGTAAAATATGCTATTAGTATTTTGATTGAGATGCATTATATCTGTATAGGAATTTTTGAAGTGTGCCTGTTTTCACTATATTGGTTCTTCCTACTCAAGAAGAAGGAACATCTTTCCATTTTCTGGTATCCTCTTTGACCTCCTTTTCCAGATTATTGTAGTTTTCTGTGTAAAGGTTTTTTACTTCCTTCAAAGAAGTATCTCTTTTTTGAGGGTGCTATTTTAAAAGATGCTATTCTTTAATTTATCTCTCAGTGAGTTTATAATTTGTGTACAAGAATGCTATTGAGTTTTGAGTGTTGACTTTGTAAGCATAATATCTAATAATACATAACTGTTTTTTGCTCTTGGTATGTTTCTCAAACTACTGAAATAGTAGTAAGAACTTTGTACATAATCAACTCAAACTAATATTTTTCAATCTCCAGCAGCCGACCCAGTATATACATGTGTATGTATGTGTGTGCACGCTTTGACTTCAACACTGAAAAGAAAAGCAAAACACTGCCCAAATGGAATTCTAAAAAATATAGGTTGTCTGTACTCTAATAATTTTAACTAAACATTATTAATCAATTACATTACTAGCCACTGGCTAAAGTGGCATATTTTCTGTTTTGCCTCACTTAATTGTCAACTCTGGAAAGAAAATACAGTGACATGCTTTCTACACAAAGTGAAACAAAACCAAAGAGGAAAGCTAACTTGTCTTCATTCATCTAGAGAGAAATTACAAAGACAAGATCCCACCAGGCCGCTCTGATCCCAAAGTCCTGTATAACTACCATGTCTGAGTCAATAAATAGGTCACAGGAAAAAGCTGGTGCCCTGAGATTTTCTGCTGGAGCCCGTGTACCTCTAAAACCTTCCCCACCTGTGTGTGCCCAAAGGCCTCGTCTAGTCTCCCTTCCTGGAAAGCAGGTCATGTGCATTCCACCAGATACACAGCCATTCCCTCAGTCCCCTGCCACGATAAAACTGCTACGTACAGGTTTTGGTTAGAGATTTCCAATTTCCGTCCTCTTCCATACATAGGTCTAAAATTTATCAGGCCCTCCTGAATATATCAGGATCCCCCTGTCACACTGGACAAAAAATAAAGTCAAGCAATCAAAAGCTAGGTATGAAAATCTAACAGCTGAGCTTTCAAGTTAAATTTTACTGTAGCAGGAACACTGCCAGAAGCCTAATCCGTTTCTGGAAGGGTTATCTCCCAGAGCCCTGCCCTGGATCACCACTCTAACATATGCCTCCATGTCCTCATTAAGTTGTTGTTCAGCTGTGTCTTAACTGCCAGAGAACAAGTTTTTCCAGCCCCTCCATTTGGTCCATGAAGAGACTGTGAGTAAAACACTGTTTATATTAACTTCTTGCAAATAGCAGACCTGTGGACACAGAAAATCCTGGATAAGAAGCTTTTACTGGCAAACAACTAATGTAACTTTCTGTCTTTCCCCTACTTTGTTTTTTGTTATCAATCTACTGGAAGTAGTATTATCCCTCTGCCAATTTACTGTCCCAAAAGTCTGTGAACTTCTGTAACTGTGTGTATACTTTTAGACACATAGTAATGAACTTGATCACATGATAAATAAGTGTGTTTGTGTTTATCCATAAGAAAATCCCCCAAGAGATTTCTCCTTTGAGATAGATTTTGCAAATATTTCATTTGTTTAAAGCTAACACGATATCCAAGAAAGTAAAAATTGAGGTTTTTTTGGGATGAAGATTCATGTAAATTTATATTCACCTCTGTGCTAAGTATCATGGGACCTGGTTCATGGTGTAGACCAGTGGACTAGATATCATGGGGTCATTTGTGAAAACATGTATTAAAAACAATCAGTATCCCAAACCTTCAGATTTTAGGTAAAATTCAAGTGAGGCATACCGAGTCATCCCAAACAAAAACCTAATGAATTGCTGTAAGTATTTCTAACTTTTTAAAACTTTTCTGAAAAATTTAACTCTAAAAATCTAACAAACTACTAATGATGTTATTAAATTTCCCTGAGGGCTCTGATATTTTGACCTCTGACATTGGCAGATGTGTTGCAAGAGATACGTCCAGACACAATTAGCCAGCACTCCCTTTGATACAATGATATTTTCACTTGTGACTTTTCATGTTGCGACATTACTCACTGTGAGTCAAAAGATTCCATTCATCTTTTCTCCAGGAAGCCCAGTTCAAAGGTGACTTGGCTTAGGGTGTGGTAGTGACTTGTGTGAATGACCACTGTAAAGGATTCTTGTCCTTCAGACCCAATGCAATTATAGTGTACGGCTGGCTATAATAATCATGATTTGTTTGCATCATTTAAAAAGATAATTACATGTTTAATAACATCTTGTATATTGGCTCTTTTATTCTGCTGCTAATACTTTTGAGAGATTCTCAGATTTGAATTCTGAAAAGGAATCAGGGTCCTATTTAGTTATTCACTGAATTGTTAACTTTTTTATCAATTCTAATTTTTTTTAAATTTTTCATAAATAGTTTGAAAGGAAACATCGTTCTGTTTAGAATTTCTTATATAAGAAATTTAAAACTTAACCAGGCGTGGTGGTTCATGCCTATAATCCCAGCACTCGGGAGGCTGAGGCAGGAGGACCATTGCGAGTTCGACACCAGCCTAGGCTACAAAGTGAGCTCAAGGCCAGCCTGAGCTGCATAGAGAGACCCTGTCTCAGAAAGACAAAAAAATAAAGTAAAATAAATTTAAAACTTCAAAATGTGATTACAATTTAAAGTTGTGGGCTTAAATGATCTATGTACCTGATTATGCCATGACAGTGACGGTAAATATCTAAAATATCTAATGAAGTGATAACTAAATTTTTTTTAATTCAAAATCTACCTTGCATAACTCCTGTACTTTATTCTAATATGTGGCTTGGTTACCACCTCTTGATTCTATCAAATAATCCTTTGCTGATTCAGTCTTTCACTTTCCATCATTTCAGATGTTGGATTATGAAAAAATGCCCAATGTTCTCCTTAGTATTGGAGTAAAAAACCAAGCTGAATTTCACCACTCAGTTGCTTCTCAATTCCGGATGCACCCAACTCCTGTGAGAATTCAGGTTATTAATGTCAGAGAAGGACCCATGTTTCATCCAAGTTCCAAGACTTTCAGTGTACGAGAGGGACTGACAGGACAGTCCTCATCGAGTCGTGTGCTCGGCACGTACACCGCCATAGATTTGGATACAGGAAGTCCTGCAACGAATGTCAGGTACTGGACATAATGTGTTCGTGTAAGCATGGCACAGTTCAGGCCAGTGTTAACACATGTTGTTTGTGCTAGCATAAGTCAGAATTTTATTTTGTTCTTCTTGATTTTTTCATAAGATTATCATAAAATATAAAAATTTTTTAGAATTTTGAGTGTTTTAGAGGGTATAAAAGCTCTGGCTAATTATATGAGTTGTAGTGTCCAGAGGACATTGTAAGATCAAAGAACTACCTAAGTTATTCTGAGAGTGTCTTGGGTCTTTGGGGGTGGATTTACTACCCTGGGATAGAGCTGATTAGGCCATGATGTATAAGATAGCACACCATAAAAATGAGTCACTGCTTGTTTCCTTAAAAACTTGTGGGTATTTATGACTTAGAGATTAATTTCAACGCTCTGCCTAATGTAAGAGGGGAAAACAATGGAAGAAACTAAAACATAAGTGTTTCAGAATTTTCATAAGATAAAGAGAGTCAGAACAGGAGAAACAGAAAGGCAGATATAAAGAATACTAGATATATAGACCTTACATGAATTAAGACTATTAGAACATTCTGGAAATAATTTACAGGAAGTAAGCCTTCTCTACATCCTTACTATCTCTGTCTCCTTTCCTCCTCCCAATATTTTTTTGAACAAAGAAAGTCTACTGATGTTAACTATTTAATCAGTTAACAAGTTGAGAGATTCTAGAAAAATCGTGAAATTGTTAGGCATGGGGAAAAAGAAGGGTCCAGGGATTTAGCTCAGAACCTGCCTGGCAAGCACAAGGTTCTGAGTTTGATTTTTGGTAAAGAAAAAAAAGAAAAGGAAATAAGTATCAAATAAATGAATTAAAGATTGGAAATTGTGCCTGATACAGAGAACCAAATCTTCTAGTTAAGTCAAGCACTTTAACCCATTATTGAAACTGGTCCCAAATAGAGAAACCAGCAGAGGAATCTCAAGCCTTTGAATAGGCCAGCAATTGAAACGTGCCCTAACTCTACAGCAGACTCACCAAATACACCACATACACAAATGTGTAAATAATCTTTGGTTTTGATAGTAAAATATATCTGATATTACTGTGATGCAATGGGTAGATCTGAAATAAACTCATACATTTTATTAGTAAATACTAAGAACTATAAGAGTATAAGTGATAACTTTCAAAACTGTTCTAAACATGTGCATTAATATATTTAATATGGAATTTTCACTGACAGTGTAGGAGAAAGAATTAACAGGAATTTTATTTATTTTTTCATGTTTTGTTAGTGTGTATCAATTATATAGACTAATTATATAGACTAATGGGATTTTATTTTGGCAGATTCATGAATGCATATAGAACCACCTCCCCCACTACCCCTTTAAGCCAAAAGAACTGACACTGTAGAGCACATAAACCCAACATCTAAAGTTGATCACATTGCAGCTCTTGTGTGGTTTCAAAGTAGTAATTTTCTTACAAGTGTAACTGTGAACTTATTTATTTAAAAACAGGTATATCATAGGGCACGATGCAGGCAACTGGTTAAAAGTTGATTCAAGGACTGGTGAGATACAATTTTCTAGGGAATTTGATAAGAAGTCAAAATACTTTACCAATGGGATATACAAAGCACAGATCCTGGCTATAGATGGTAAGAAAATATCCTTTCAATATGTTAATAAATTTTGTGCTATTACATTTTAAGCATTATACATAGTTTTACTCTAGTTTTCATATTTGGAGTAGCTAAGTTGTGTAACATTTAGTTGTGTAACTAAATTAGTTTAGTTGTGTAAACATTTCTTAAGGAAAATTCTAAGCACCTTAGATCAAGAACTAAATTTAGTTACACTTATAATTTATACCTAAACTATAATTTAAATTTCACTTACTTCCAAGAAAGAATTGTATCTGGCTTGCCCCAAAAGGCAGAAGAGTTGAAGGTAAACTTTAGTTTCTGTTTATAACCTCGTCTGTCGAGTAAAGCTAATCTCACCTTTAGAGTATGTTAGGAATGTTTGCCTGCGGGAGAGTGGTGAGGGTTACAGGATGTGCAGAGTTCACTGTGGAACCCCCTGGCAGTGAGACAGTGTCCACAGCAGTGGACTGATTTTAGTGTCACCAAAACTGAGCTGCAATGACAGACCTGTGTGAGTGTTGCTTGGTTAGACATATCATTCATAATAAGATCTTATGGATCAGGAAGATGTAAGGCTATTCCAAACACAAGATCCAAAATAAAAGTCAGAAGCTCACTTCTGACTGAATGAATTGGACTTGAGTCATTTCTTATATGGGAAAATCTATTGCACATTCTTCTTGGTGAACTTATTTATTTATCAATAGTTAATGATTCTCCAGCACAGTGCCTAGGAAACTAGCTGCTGTAGAACAAAACAGAGAAAGGGTAGCAACCAGAAAGAAAGGAAAAGAGAGATGTCCCCAATACATGTCCAAGATAAAATAAGTTACATTGAGTTTGTATCTGACCTTTACTGTAGCCATACAAAGACAAAGATAAATGAGCAGAGTCAGATTCAAAGAGAAATCATGATGAACCTAAGCCATTAGTCCATGGAGTCACATCTTTTTATCCTGAGGGTACTTTTCCTATCTTAGTCAGTTACATAAAAATATACTACCAATAAAAGACCTGTTTCTAAAATGGATTCTAGCCATGCTGATTACATATTACATTTGCATATTGGCAATATGTGAAAATCTTGAAAAACTGCTACAAAAAATGAATTAAAAGAGAGAAAGTGAACCAAAATATATCAGGAGAAAACTAAAAACATTGTTTGAAGGGCTCTGTTTGAAACAAATTGTGTCACTATCAAGGGGAAAGGCAGAGCAATACGGACACCAAACTATATTTGAAAGCAAACGCTGTACTTTGGTTGTTACATCATGAAGCCATTTAAGAATCAGAGAAAGATGAATGAAAAGCCTCTAGAATAGTCTGATGTCTCTCTAGTGAGAGATTCAGTGCATAGACACACTAGCCCAGCAAGTCCAGTCCTGAATAGTCATAAGAACAGGCTGTACAATGACATGTAGCAGATTTATGGGCAGATCTGTTGGTTTATTATTGTTTGATTAACTTGGTGGCAACTGCTACTGAGGCACACACACAAAAAGCTTTAAAAGAACATTATTAACTTTTCAGAAAATGATCTCGTAAAATGCCATAGAGATGCCAATGCTCTAGTTACGAATGAGAAAATGCCACTTCACTTCAAGATTTTAAATATATATATATATATATATATATATTCACTATCACAATCACAAAACATAATCCCAGAATCCTAATACTTAGCCTCTACTTTTTCTAATAAATTCTACTACCAAAAATTGGTCTCCAATAGGTTAGAGAAGGAAAATCTAATAGATTTATATTTGTTTTCAGAAATACTATTTTAGAAATAAGTAATATGGAATAAAATCAACAAAAACAGAAAGGAAAAAGTTCCCAAGTAATTACTTGATTCAGTTGTAGCTTTTCGGCAGACATAGGCCGGATAGCATCCTGAATGGAGGCTCATCCTGTCTGCTGCTCAGGAGTTAATTTACTGAGACCCGGTGAACAGAATGCCCAAGAGTTTTGACTTAAGGAAAAACACGTTTCAAAAAGGCTCAGGAGAAGCCAGTGTGCCTGGAATGAAGCACACAAAGGCCACAGCTGGCCGAGGGAGGCAGAGTCCTGCATGCCCACGAGTCAGTCACTCTGGTGCTGCACACTGTGCACTGTCATGGACTGTAGAGGGAGGACTTTCTCCCGGCACCTTTCCCCTCTATGTAGCTGTGCTGCTTTACTTTCAGACGGCTCTGAGAAGACCGCTACAGGAACCATATGTATTGAGGTTGTTGATGCCAAGGATTACTGTCCAGTCATTTACTCAGAAAGAAATATCGTCTGCACTAACTCTCCATCAGTCCTCATCTATGTCAGCGACTCTTCCTACGGGTCTCCCTTCACCTTCTGTGTGCTTGACCAGTCACCAGAAACAACTCCCGTGTGGGATATCAGATCCATAAATGGTGAGTGGAATGTTCCTGCCCCCCATGCTTTATATCCAAAAGCAAAACCATGTCCAACTGATCAGCCAAGTCACTGGATAACACTTCCTGCCTCATTTCCCGTAAGTTCTGCCATGTTCACATTAACCGGGACAAGAAAGGACTTCCTGAAGAGATTAGGATATTGGGGGGATTTTTTAGACTGAAACAGAATCAAAATATTCATTCCTACTGCAGTCATGAATCATTTATGTCAGTTTAGTTGTTATGTTAGTATATATAGGCAGTAAATCAATACCTGATCATTTGAAACAGACAAAACTCTAACTTATCACATCACAGTTCTCTATTCTGAATAGTTTCGGGCAAGTCACACACAGATCTGTGAAACTCAGGTATCCCGTGGAAACATTTACACACATTCTACTTATTTGGGGGCATACAAGATCAATGACATTGCTTCTATAGAGCTACTGAATCAGACTTATTTGTAAGGGTAAAATTTTAAATCTGAATTGTCCAATATTAGAATGATTGTTCAAACTGTGATATGCATCATTAGGACAGGCTACCACACAACCATTAAAATGACAAGTGTGCAAAATATTTAAATACAAATGCATAAACCAAAAATGAAAAGGGAAAAGCAGGTTTCAAAACAGTATGTGTGTGTGTGCTGACAGCTATGCAAAAATCAATGCCTGACAATGATTTTTTTAAAAAATGAAAGTAAATTTCCAGCAACCCAACATTTAATCTACCTTGAATTCTTTCTCCTAAAATATTAAATGCATAGAAGAAAAGGAGGCCATGAGGAGACCTGAGATAGTGTCTCATCCCACATTCACTGTGTCAATAGGACTTTTTGTGGGGTACTGAGGTGGGGGTCAGACTGCAGAGCCTCAGAAGAAAGGAAATATTTCCCACCTCTCTGAGGCCACCAGGCTTCATTTACAGAATTCAAAGAATGTAAGGCCCTAAATGATATCAGGGAAAATGCCATTAATAAAGAGTTGATCTAAGGAGGAAATTAGGTGACTTGCTTTTTAAAAACTGACTAGTTTTTTTTAATAAAACCAGTTTTATATTTTAAAAACCTGATCACATTAAAGCAATTCCACTAAAATCTACTTTTGTTGATAAACCTAAGTATTTTCTTTTAGTTCAATAGTATTCATTGTTAGACAAAAATTTATTCAGTGCATATGATACATTGAGTACTGTTGGTCTGGAAATAAACAAAAGTCCCTCCTGGATGTAGAAGTAACAGCCTAGCAGGCAGCAGTATTCAACAGTAAATTCTATTTTGGGGGGCTTTTGTTGTTGATGTTGTTGGGTTTTTTTTGTTTGTTTGTTTATCTGTCTGTTTTGGGGTTTTTTTGAGACAAGTTCTCACTACGTAGTTCAGATTGGCCTCGAACTCACTATGTAGCCCAGACTGGCCTCAAACTCATGGTGACCCTCCTGCCTCAGCCTCCCAAGTACTAGGGTTATAGGCATATACCACCACACCTGGCTTGAACAATAAATGCTAAATGAAAATTAAGAGACATGGTGCTCTATGGTCAAGGGCATAAAAGCCCCAGGGTCTCAGTCTTGTCTATTAAGCAGTGTTACCATCTATTTCCTCTCTTCCCTTTCAGGCACTGCTGCCATCCTGATGACCGAGCAGACTTTGTCAGAGCAGCTTTACCAAGTCCCCATCCTCGTGAAGGACAGCTATAACAGACAATGCGAACTGCCACAGATTGTGCAGTTAAATGCCTGCGACTGTGACAGCAACCACATGTGCTGGCAGTGGAGTACCACGGGCGTCTATAACGGGGGCGTCAGCTCGGTTACTGATGACATGAATGGGTTTGTCACTGATCCCGGAGTTACGGATTCAAATTCTGGGCTCGGATCGACGGGGATCGGCATGATCGTTATGGGCCTCTTACTACTGCTTTGTAAGTACTGAATTAAGTCATCCTTTTTCAGCCAGCTTTCAAAGTAGGGCTTTCTAGGATCTCTAGGATGCTTAGATCAGGTTGATGTGGCTCTTTATTTTAGTGTATATAGCAATTTTTGGGTGCCTTTGGAAGTAAATAGGACCTTTTGGAAAAGTACTTATTCAATAATAATACCTAACATCGAATATTACTGTGGGTTGAGAAACGTGAGAATCACTAAGTGTAATGTAGAAAAACAGAAAATTAATCCTGCAATGGGAGTGTCATCAGGGAGTGGATTTTGAGCTGAGTGTGAGAGCTGAGACTTTTCTTAGAAGAATGATGTACATGGCAAAATTTGAAAGACCATCAGGAAAAAAGAAACTCCGAAGCAAACAGGAAAGGTGCTAAGGAGGTAGAGAGCATACCAGTAGCAGAATGCATACCCCAGCACCAAAACCAAAACCAAACCAAGCAAGCGAGCTGGACAGAAAGGCTCCGCACTCAGGAAGCAGAGAGACTAAGTTAGGATGGGACCAGCATTCAGGTGCATAATATTCATGACACAGTAGACATTGTGGGCCACAGGCAAGGACAAAGCAGTGAGGACCTGGAACTCAGGTGGCCTGCTTGCTGTATGTCATAGGATAAGGGTGAGTTTAGCAAAAGAAATTTACTCATCAACTCTGTCTGAATTAAGAGCATAGTTACAGGAATGCCAAGATCCCCAAGGAAAACTTTCAGAGAGATTTTCCTCTCCATGTGTCTTTTGAAAAACATATAGGCCCTCAGAAGAAAGATATTTCATGTGTTTTAAGGTGCCCCTACAATAGTTAGATTTCATGGGAATCAAATACAGTCTTCTAAAATGTGAAAAGTTTAAACTCATCAAACTGTGTGCTTAACCTGTGTTTACAGATGGCACAAATTAAAATGCTACAATCTCAAAGTACTAAAAAACTGACATCAGGCAGGTTTTCTTTCTTAAAACAATCACGAGTTTGCAAGAATGTACAAAAAAAGTGAATGATTCTCAGAATTATATTAGAGACATTTTCCCAGAATATGATTCTAGAGCAACCGAGTGGAGGTGGCAACTAACCTTTCCATCAGTGGTTCTCAGAGTCACCTTGAGGTCTTTAAAAGTATCCATGCCTGAGTAGTAACTTGAAGAGCATCACAAGCCAGGGCAGGCTTAAGCCTTCTGGGACCAAGAGTTAAAAATCCAGGATTAGCTCTGTTTTCAGCAAGCTAATACTAAGAGTGTCATCATCCTTCCCGACTCAGGCAACAAAAGCAAGAGCACTGTGAGACTCATTACAAATACTAGGGAAACCGTCCCGTGAACAGTGTCACTTGTCTGTCCTACGGGAGGAGAGCAGTGTGATATGGACAGTGAGAGAACTAAGTCCAAACCTTAGTTTGAACCCAAAGGGATTCAAATTATGACTTTCAACGGCAGCTTGAAGCAAACTTAATGCATACGGTAGTTATATTTGCCGTGTTCTAAAAGGATTCCATTTGTTAAGTGGTGCCTTTGTTAGAGCTGTGCCACCATGGTGCATGACCTGTCCTCATTGTGACAGAACCAGAGGAGGTAGAGCGGCTGCATGGAGGTCACGGGCAATGAGGCATTCGTTGACTTTCTAACTTGAGGGACGGATGCTGACTCTTCTTCACCACTCTCTTGGGCAGTGTCGCCACTCTTGCTGCTCTTGTGTTGCTGCAAACGACGACAGCCAGAAGGCCTGGGGACCAGGTTTGCTCCAGTACCCGAGGGAGGCGAAGGGGTGATGCAGCCCTGGAGAATAGAAGGGGCCCGTCCGGAGGACAGGGTGAGCAATCTTTCACTTCCAGGAAAGCAGAAGTTTTCCATGGAAACAGAGTGTCTCTTGCCAATGACACAACACACTAAACTGAACAGCGTAAAAGTGTTGAATGTGAAACATTTACCATGAAAAAATCTGTTTTCTTTTCAGGATGTGTCGCACATATGCGGACCCACGACAGCCTCTAATACCCAGGATCGTATTGATTCATCTGGTCAGTAAACACCAAATCTGTGTTTTTAAAGTATGCAAAATCATTTAATCAGACCAATCTCTTGTACAAGTACCTTATTTAGAAAAAGAATACCTGTCAAACTTAGTAAAGGATAATATAGTAAGAGACAAAGTGGCATATGTGACACAGGCACTTTATTTTTTAATCTTAAAGTTCAATCTATGAAGTACAATTCAGCGTTTACAGAGAAGCCTCTGAAACCAAACTGCATGGGTTAACTCCCCCTCTGCTACTTTCATAGGAAGTCTCTGGGTGAGGCCTAGACTCTCTGAGCCTATTTCTTCTCTTTGAAATCAGGTTTAGTGCCTACTTCAAAGCATTGCTGTGAGGAAAAAACAAATATACACAGCTGTACCTATCGTATTGCCATCTATAAGTATTAGTATACATCATGCATTATTCATGTGTATGCACACGCACACACTGCATGCATGTATACTATGCTATAAAACATGCATTAAAATAGTGCCTGGTGGGGCTGGGGATTTAGCTCAGCGGCATAAGCGCCTGCCTTGCAAGCAGGCAGTCCTGAGTTTGATCCCCGGTACCGATAAAAAGACAAAAAAAAAAAAAAAAAAATAGTGCCTGGCACAGACCAAGTGCTGTCCATGCAAAACCACAGCATGGAGGATTAAGGCTTTCACAGGGAGACGCTGGTAGTCACTGGTGGTGGATTGGGCCGCTCGCCAGCAGGAGTCCATGCCTGAGGGGAGAGCCTGCGCCCCCTTGCCAGCTCCTGGTGCATCTATTACTTCAATTCTGTCTTCAAGCCTGGAGATTCTGGGGTAATTCATGTATCATTTTGCCAGGCTTTTCAGAGCCTACTGTGCATGTGCAAGATTACAGGGCTCTCCTCTCTTTGCAGAAATCTATACCAACACCTATGCGGGTGGAGGGACTGTTGAAGGAGGTGTGTCTGGAGTGGAGCTCAACACTGCCACTGCCATGGTGACAGCAGAGGGCCTGGCAACCGGGGGAGCGGCAGCGGGGGCCTCAAGGAAGAGGAGCTCCACCATGGGCACCCTGAGGGAGTTTGCGGACCCCGGACTGAACGTGGCCTTCCTGGACAGCTACTTCTCTGAGGTGACGCATGCACCTGCACACCCAAGCCAGACCTGGGGCTGACAGTGACAGTATTAATGGTGGCAATAGCTTTTCAAGATATACACTCCATTCATTCTTTACCCTGTCCCAATATACATAAAAAAAAAAATGCTTCACTTCTTAAAATGCAAATTGCAAGCAGCAGCAGTCTAGCAGATTCTGTTGTCATACTACATTTTAATGCTACAGAAAAGCAGGCTGGCAGCCCTCGTGATTCTGTTGCCTCTCTCCATTCTTCTCTCTTCGGTTCCCTTCTGGTTTCTCAGTGTCTCTCATAGCAGCAGCAAAGCCAAAGAATGCTGACCAAGACAGACAATGTGTGCTCGATCCTCTCTTTGTAAAATCCTCCCCATTCCACATGAAGACGTTGCCATTGTAAACTACACCTTAACATTAGTAGTTGAAAGTTCTATTGCAGAACATAATGAATACTATCAATTATTTAAATGACTAATTGATACCAACTCATCAGTCTGTTCAACAAATGGGCACAATACATAAAAATCATTTTTGAAATCCCCTATAGAAATCACACCTGTACCAAAAGAACTCTAGCCTTAACTTCAAAATTACCCTTGACATTTGTTCCTTCAATTATAAGCAGCGCATTGTGAGACAAAATAAAAATGCATTCTTCTTTCTCTATGGGAACTGAGAGCTTTTTCAAACGGTTTTAGCGCTGCACTTGAAATCAGTTCTGGAATTCAGGGTGATTTGGGGAGACTGGACAGCTCTGAGTCCTGGGTTAAATCCCTACACAATTGTGCCCCGGCTTCTTCCCCACCTTATGCAGCAGCACCTGCTTGCCAGTGATTCACAATTATCCTCTTATTGTTGTCACCTGAAGTACTAAACAACAGAGGATTCGGTCAGCGCCAAATTCGTAAATAACTCCCTTCAAAATATAAAATCACTGATTTCTCAAGGTAGAATTTAGAACCTGGTGCAGACCAGAGGAAAGCAGCATGATAGAGTATAAAGGGGACAACTGGATGTGAGGTTTTCATCTGCAATGGTTTGGGATCTAGGCATACAATTCAGCTCTCTCCAGGCCATTCTTTATCTCATCATGTTCATTATCTCATCATGATACAAGACTGGATCAGGGACTTTAGGGTCCTCTGCTCGGTAAGTGTCCATAGAACCTTTCAAGGACCATGGAAGGTGAGGGAAAGAGAAAGTCTGTGCCCTGCTGCAAGTCTGTGTCCACCTTCAAGCCCAGAGGTTCCACTCACCCCCGTTCTACTCTCCAGATTTGGCTCCCACCTGAGATTTTAGTTAAAGGGGCTTCTTTAAAAATAATTTTAAAGTCGTGGTAGGTAATCCTGGTGTTTTCCTTCTTGGCATCATCCCAACTGACTTGACTCAAGTTGCATCAAACTTCATAAACACTCTGGCATAAGCCTCTGAGTTTAGAGAAATTTACATCTGTGAACATGTTTTTTTCCCAAAATGATCAAACATCCCTCCTGAAGTCAATATTTTGAACATAACTAATTACATTTTATTATTTCTAGGTCACACAGAAACAGAGGACTTTCAGACCAAAAGATAAACATTATCTCTGATTCAAAATCTTTATAAAATATAGACAAGGTCATTTATTCATTTTCAAATAAGAGAAATTCACATTAGTTTTCATTTTCTTTCCTCCATGAATGCACATTAATCTCCAAAAAATTCCAGTTATTTCATAATACATCAAAGTACTATTTTTTTCTGTGTAGCCCATAAAATCTTTTTAGAGCCAAGGTCTCTGAAGCATTGCTGTCATTTATCTTTGTTTTGATGGAAAGTGAATTTTTGTAATGTCCTATTTTTCTCCTAATTTTAGAAGGCATATGCATATGCAGATGAAGATGAAGGCCGACCAGCCAATGACTGCTTACTCGTTTACGACCACGAAGGAGTAGGGTCTCCTGTGGGCTCCATTGGTTGCTGCAGTTGGATCGTGGATGACTTAGATGAAAGTCACATGGAACCCTTAGATCCAAAATTTAGGACCCTTGCAGAAATCTGCTTAGACACAGAAATCGAGCCGTTTCCTTCGCATCAGTCCTGTATTCCTATCAGTACTGACCTCCCTTTGCTGGGCCCTAACTACTTTGTGAACGAATCTTCAGGAACGACTCTCTCAGAGGCTGAATTCCAAGCAGAAATGGCAAAGACGGAACCAGTTGTTCATGGGGACATCATAGTGACAGAGACCTACACTACTGCTGAGCCATGTGTCCAACCCACTACCATTGTTTTTGACCCACAGCTGCCACCCAATGTGGTAGTAACTGAAACAGTCATGGCACCTGTCTACGATGTTCAAGGGAATATTTGTGTTCCTGCTGAGATAGCCAACACACACAACGTATACTATGCTGAGAGAGTATTGGCTAGCCCAGGGATGCCTGACATGAACAGTGTCGGCATGGCTGATGCTTGTATGGGACCTGTGATGAGTGGTGGTATTTTGGTAGGGCCAGAAATTCAAGTGACACGAATGGTGAGTCCAGACATTCACATAAGCCAGACCATTGGTTCTACATCGCCAATGACACCTCGTCACAGAGTAACACGATATAGTAACATACATTACTCCCCACAGTAAGTGCTCTATGGTCAGTATTCTAGATGGAGACCTTATACCCTAATAGTCACCACCACCATGTCCATCAAAGACATATAATGTACTACATTAACATTTTAACAGTTAAAAACCATTCAAACATTCTGTTTTATGTGACTCTTTGATTCATTGGAGGGGTAAATGGGGCTAAGCACTTTAGCTAAACCTTTTATTTTAAATAATATGCAAAAATAACTGAAGAAAATTTTCTATCCTTTGATACTGTCAAATAACCATGGTTCATTTTGCAAGTTCATGGTTCCTAAGTCCTCTGTAGGAACAGTCTTGTAAAGTAAGATGCCCATATTCTTGAGAGTTGCAAGGGGTCGTACCAGCATCCACTGGCCCTGTTTTTCTTTAAAGAAATATTTCTACTAAAATGTCTTGATTTAGGAAGTGAATGTGATGTACATTTCTGAAAGGAACTTGAGAAGAAATATGAAGCATGTATCTAAAATCATTTATTTTTTCCACATCATTTCTCAAGATAGGCAATATTAAGCAATAGATCATGCTTGGTATAAAAAAACAGTTTGCCAATTGGAATTGACTCATGACAAGAAAATACACATGGATTTTTTTGCACCTTCTTGATTAATATAAGTAGCTGTAAATTAAATTAGAATTGTGAAAACTTAAGACAAGTCTACAATAAACCAGATCTGAGAAAAAATATTAGCATTTTCCCTACATTTTCTGATTATATAAAAAAAGAAACAGAGTTTAATGTTTTATTGACCTGGGTCATAGAGCTGACACTTGGCAACAAGATAAAAGCACATCTATAATTATTTATATATTCAACAGTTATTTACTTAGAATGCTACTGAATGTTGGTCTTGGTTCTGTGAATTAGAGGTAAAGAAGAGGGACATGATTAGTGTTTTGTAGAGCTTTTCATTCATTTCTAGTCTTAAAACTGAGATGTAGCCTTGAAATTCTTACAAAACTATGTAAGCTCATTCCCAAGTTGCATTTCTCTTTCTAATAAAACTATTTTTATGTCCAGTGAATGAAATGGAAACACATGCACAGGTCGCTTATTTTTAGAAGGCAGGAAGCTGGCTCAAGAAAAAGAAATTTGGGAAATGCATTTACTGGATTCTGTAAAATGTGTAAACTACATAATATTAACGAAAATGTGACTAGAAAGACAATGTAAACGAGATAGATTTATTTTGAGGGCTCCTTCCTTTTGGAAAGAAATAATTATAGTACTTCTTGGGTTTTTTGTTCCTTTATGAATAAAACCATGATGGAATTTGAGCCATCTCACATAATCTCTTGCTTGACTGTCTCATTTTATTGACAAAAAATCTGGAAATAAAGGGGTTAAATGACCACAATCACTTAGCTGTGCTTTGGACTTATTACTCAGGTACCCTGGCCAGTGTTTCAATATTGTAACTTCATCAGAATGGAAAAAATTTAATTTTGTCTATTGCATAGTCTTCACTATCCCTAATTAGAGTAGAATATATCACTTTTAAAAATGACAAATTATAAGCATAGAATGGCACAAACATTTTAAACCTAGAATTATTTACATATTTTGTTATAATTTCCAAATTGCACTCACTGCCAAGTCCTATCATCATTCTTTACTTTAGTTACATCAAAGACTCTGCTACATTCCACTCATCTATAGTTTGATCAAATCCATGAAGTAACCAAGCACTACTGGCTCCATGACCATTTAACAATCAATCAACACCTGGCCGCATAACATTTTGTATGTACTCAGTTCTGTAGCATATTCTGATATGGACATTTCTCTCTTTAAGTTTGTGTGCTAGGACCAGGATATTGTTCAGTGACACAAGCATCTGCCTGGCAAGCATGAGGTTGTGAGTTTGGTCACAGTTCCAAAAGAAAAAAAGAAAAGAAATATGCATTCTATTAGACCAATAATTCTAAAATGTATTAAATAATTAGTGAATAATTAAGTATAAAGTGCTACTGATATTACATTTGAATGCACTGACACTTAAGAAGCAAAGAATAAAAGAGAACTAAGCATTAACCAATAGATTAAAATCTTTTTAAAGAGAGAAAATTACTAACAAGAAGGATTTTAAAAATGGTTCTTTGAACTTTTTTTCTTCTATCTCTTTATCAATACACAAAACAGTACACCCACTTCTCATGGGTTCCTTTCTCCACACTGTCTGGAGCATAAGATCAGATCCATTTTATTTTCTCAATTCAGGGTGAGGAGGAACTCTCCCATTGAGCCAGGGTGGTCAAGATTGTTTGCATGTAACTCGGACTTCACAGATCAGCTTCTCTGAAGATATCATCTCAGGCCAAATAAGCATAAGACAAGTTCCTCATTCACTGCATACAACAAAGCTTAGTGATTTATCTAGGGACTAATCGTGATAGATCGTTTTTGTTGAAGTTTGAAAATGATCTGGGAAATGATATTTAATGAATAAATATTATAGCATATAGCTTGACTTATAGTGCCTGACCTGCATAATTACTTGAGGAGATAACATTATTAAATGAATAAATGACTCTTTTGGAAAAGTCCTAGGTGAAGGGAAAAGAAAATATTTATAAGAGTATTTATGAACTTATTCAAAAGAAGTCATTTCAGAAAAACTTTCTCTTTTGGATTAAATATTTCAGATTGTAATATATTACTAAATGTGATATTTTATACATTTCTTCAATTAATTAAGTAGGTGATAAGGGCTAGGGATTTAGCTCAGTGGCTCAAGCGCTTGTCTGAAACGCTCAAGGTGATGAGTTTGATCTCCAGTGCCAATAAATAAATAATAATTTAAAAAGTAGGTGACGAGAGAAATATTCCATTTTATATTTGGTGTGAGTACTGCTTTGCACAAATCCAGATATACATTCAGAAAATTACTCTCATTTTTACTAGATGATTATTGTCTTTATCACTGTAAGTACCATGACATAGATTAATTTGCAAATTGAAATTCAGAATAACTAATTTGTTTAGTAATGATAAAGTATCTCCATAGCATCATTGCTTTACTTGTGAATGTTCATTACAAAATAACAAATCAATTGAATAAGCATCAGAAATTGTTCTAGACATTGTAATTATAGAGCTAAATTATAAATTCAACAAAATTAACTATGATTTCTGTGCCAGCCAAACCAATTTCTGTGGAAATAATGAAAGACTAATTAATTTCAATTAAGGAAATGAGGTAGCTCTATTTGATGGTAAAATCTGGGTTAGGCAACTAGAGTTTTGTCTGACAAGGAATACAAAAATATAAAAGCCAAAACACAAGCTCTATCCCAAGTCTATTAAGTAGTCAAATTAATTTTAGAAATAATAAATTATTTCATAGTCATTTTTAAATTATCAGCATTGTACTAATTACTCAATTCTCAAAACACCAGTAAAGCATGGTTTATACTCATATCACAAATAAAGATGCTACAGCTAAGAGAAATTGTAACCTTCACATTACAGCATCAGTGAATAGAAGAGTTAAAAACAAACCAAGGACTTCCCAACTCCAAAGACTTCATTCTCACCCAATTCTATTGATTCAGTTCTGGAAGACACGTGAGAATAGGTGAAAGAGGTGAAAGATCTTGGATCTTACTAGGAAGCTGGATTTCACTTGGTTGGAAAATGGCAATGGAACCAGTGAAATGTTTGTACCATTAATGTCCAGGTCCTGTGTTATGAGATGGTTTTCTAGCATCCTCACGCGCTGCTGAACACCAAAACACACACACACCCTCATCACGTACCACCGAGGCAGAGAATCCTGTATTTGTTTCTGTAATTGCCAGGATCTGACTCACCAGCATTCTAAGCCTAGGAGGTCTTTAGATCCCCACTAAGCTGGATAGGTTAGTGCTGGTTTTCCTAAAACCAATGAAGCATTGTGTAAATTAGCCAAACTACTTGCTCATTGAATGCCCTTGACCTTTTCTATGACTTCAAGTGAGGTCCATATTATGACTTATTTGTAGTTTGTAAACCAAGGCGTGGCTTCTTATACTTCTGTCACTCTGCACCACCCTTGTTCTTAATCTGGAAACCATTCCCTTTATCTGTTTAGCTTTCTCTTACTCACCTCTCAACGCTCACTTCAAGTCTTGCCCTTTCTCAGGAGTGTGGTTTGACATTTCTTCCTGCCCCAACCTGCTCGCTTGGTTAACTCTCTTTCCTTGTTCCCTTCAGTCATGGACAGCTGCTTTTCCTCTCTTTGCTGGTCCATCAGCAACCTGAGAACAAAGGCAGCGCTTGGCTCCTTTTTTTTATCTCCAGTGTTAGTAGAACATCTAGTATATGTCTGCACCTGTTCAATTCAGGACAATACAGCCTAGTTCTCTCAAGCCGCTAAAAGCAAGAGTCCTCAGCTCAGCGGGTTTGCATCTAGAGAGCAGCCTTTGGGATCATCTTCCAAACCCTGTGTAAATGTCACACTTAGGGAATGATGGGAGATGATGCATGTGCATACATTATTCACAGTGACAGTTACTTCATGAGAGAAATGAAAAAGTACTTTTAAAAAGTTATGTGCAGAACTCCTCACACTTTCTGAGGGAAATTATGGTATAGATGAATAAAAGAAACTGCAAAGTTATAGAGTGAATCTAGGAAATGTAGCCCTTTGAAGATCTTAAAACTAAATGAAGAGGAGGCAAAACTGATAATTAGGATCAAGCACAGATATCAAAAAAAAGCCGGTTTGTAGAGCAACGATAGCAGATTTGCTTCTCTTAGAGTTGGCAGAAAAGGAAGTCTAATAATGTCAAATTGACGCCAGTTTGATTACTGAATTTTTGCTATCATACTCTTCTTGGTTTTTTTTTTCATATTGTGAATATCATTCTGTCGGGACATAGACATACCTCATTTTTTTTCAAAAATTTACATAGTATTCATAAATTTGTACCACACATTTTTACCATCACCTAATTACAAAAAATGATCGATTCCATCTTTTGATATTATAAATATGCTATGTGAATATTTGCATATCTATTACATACACAGAAAGCTGAAACATTTCTATTAGGCTCTTAAGAGGGAGTGCCATATCAAAGGATATAGAAAAATAATTTTTGTAGAGTGTTCCCAAATTTCCCTCCCAACAAGAATATTCATTTAATTTCCATTCACTGTTCTTAAGACTTGCTTTAATTATCAATTTATGGTTAATACTCTAGTAGGAATTATGATTACTTCATATTACCTGCCAATTAAACAGAATCAGATACTTAGTGAATGTAAATTGACTAAACCAAAGAAAGAATCACTAAATAAATATTATGTTACCACATATACACAGATATTAGTCTCTCTTCTCTTGCATTGATCTACTGTCATAGGTGCCAATAATTCTTTTATGGAAGCCATAGTATATGTTTTTCAGTTTGTTTTGATAACTGCTGGGGAAAGTCACCATCCTTTACTGTTTTTTAAATTATTTGACACTTCTGCTAGACTCAAGTTTTAAGAAATGAAGAGTTTTTATTAGAATTCAAATTAGACTGAATTTATAGATTAATAAGTTTGAGACCTTCACAACTCTAGCATTAACCTGTGTCATTAGCTTTTATGTTGTGATATTCTACATTGGATATTTTAGAAGAATGTCACAATTAAATTATAAAATCAATAACAGAACCCATTCATATTAAGATTACTTGCCAGAACTGGGCGTGGCAGTCCACACCTATAATTCCAGCATCCAAGAGTCTGAGGAAAGAGGTTCGCTGTGAGTTCAAGGCCAGCCTGAATTATATAGTGAGACCCTGGGTCAAAAAAAGAACAAAAAGATTGCCTTTCACTATAGCACTATTTTGCAATTTTTTATATGTATTGTATTTTTTAGCATAAATTTGTATTTAATATGTATAGTTTGTATTTTTTAAATGTGTTTCTTACATATAAGTTCTGTAACAATTACAAAAATATCATACAGCAGGGGGCAAAATAGTGTTGCCAGGATTAAGGCCAGAATAAACTTTATTTGCTTTTAATCATAAATATTTCTCAATTGTTAAGGCCAAATAAATGAACCCTAACCATCAGACTTTCATATCGCCTGGAAAATTCCATTCTTAGAAAGCCAACTGATTATTGAACAAAAGCAAACAAATGAAAGATTGTGAGATGTCTTATTACCCTTAAAAATACTAAGGTTAAAAAAATAAAACTATCAGATTTCTTTCACAAATAAAGGCTGTTCTTATAACATTGTTGACCACTGGGTGGTGGTTACTCAACAGGCAGGCAGCTGTATGAGCCAGTGTTTGCTCTCTGCCTCAC